AGGACAGGCTTTAAGAAAATTTTCTCGCCACTTTAAGTGTAAAACAGAGCTATTTCGAAGCATGTAATCAGTATATAAGCAAAAGCTTCCTGATTTTATCAAATAACAGTCGCGAAAGACAGCCGGCCAAATAGGCACAAAGCCATTCATGGCTGACGGACTTACAAACTTTCCAAAACTTTTTTTTTTGAAAAACGATTCAAAGATATCCAAAAAGAATAAGAGAGACTGGAATCATTAGAAGAAATTATATTTGACCGTAAAGGTAACATATAAACGATTTCACTTGCTGAAAACAAAGTCAAACTTTTACTGGTGTTATAATCTCAAAACAGACAACTTTGCGGGAAGTTGAATAAGAAAACTTCAATCCAGTTGTGTTCACGATCAAAACGCAAATACCTCTCACATTTTTCTTCCAGCTTTGTTTCAAATGAGCTGTAAGAGTTTTTATAAACTACTCAATCAACTTGAAAGTGATGACGAACTTAGAAGCTCAGAGCGAGGCCGGTTGGCGAAAGATGGAGACAGGAACTGCCAAATTAATGGTAGCCACGAGGAAATTTCTTCTGTATACGAACACATTCTCAGAACAAACATACGCTCATTAGTTCGATCGAATCAGAAAGACAAAATTTTACTTTTGCCCTTTGGAAGTGCTCTATAAATAGTCGTATAAGGCTAATTCGATCTCAGTTAATCACTGGTTGCAATTGATGATCGTACAAGAAACAAGCTTAGATTAAATATGCAGTAGCATAATAATCGTCTAAAACTCCAGTGTTAAGTTGGACGATGACAGAGCGAAGTAAAACAGTTATAGAAAGTGTAATTTAAGGCTCGGATAATAAGTTATGCTTCTCACTTTTTCATTTACCAGAGCCAGAGTCTACCAAAGTATCATCGCAACGTAGAAATGATCCAAGACTATGCAACAACATACCCTGGATCAGTTCGTGTCGCACCCACAAGTCACGCATACATGCATTTATAAGTAATTTCCATAATAATAGATTCACAACATCTCGAAAACATTTTCGGGAACATTCACGGCTGATGTTTTTCCGCAAATTTGTCCAAGGTGTAATCTTTGCAAAGGTGTAAGCTACCTTGGACGCGGAGCAAAGAAAACGTACGTACATCGCAGACAATCGTAATTATGTCGAATGATGAAATACTCGAGTCAAATCTCCATGCCTCCTTCATAATTCTTCTTTCTTCTTTTTTATTCGTTTGGGTTCTTCCTAAATGCCTTTTTTGACTCTCAGATGTAACTCTCTTTGAAACAGTTAGAGTAGGAGCTCGAGATTTCTATCGTGTGATAGTTCAACGATCGGGGCATAACAGTGAGAATAAATAAAACAAAAACGATTTGCATCTTACCGAGTAACTCTGCTGTGTGTAAAATTAAAGTTCTACTACAAAACGCATGACCTAAAGCAAAACTGATTTCACACGGAAAGCAGTTTTTCAAACCAGATGTTTTAATCGTTAAATTTTGTTTGGTATTCTAATAGATGATTATCTGCTGAAAGTCAATTTTCATGATCATCTGAGCAGAACCACAGCAAAATAACATCACATGAGTTTGCATATTCTAAACTCAAAAATGAATCCTTGTAGTGGTTCATCTGCAATCCATGTCGACATTTTAATTGATTATTTTCTCTCTTATATTTTTCCATCTCTGATAAAGATGAGTTGGCGCGGCATTTTTTTCAATCTTCGTGACAATACTTTCTAAATATAATTCGGCTTATTGCCCACAAAATGCGTTGATTGTTATATATCCAAAAGCAAAACATTTAAGGTAACTGACGAGGATTGCGAAGTCTAACGATAAATCAAGAGTTAGAGAAGAAGACTTTTGCTTGAAAAACAACTCTCTTTTGCAATATACAAGGATTGCGTAAAAGATCGAGAAATGCAAAGTTTTACTTTCAGTTTCGTTTGCATAACCTCCTCAAAACTAATTACGGTTTCCTGCATTAACATGGTGCTGTCGCTAATATGGATCGCAGGAAAGCCGTTAAAAAAATTTTCTCGCCACTGTAAAAGTAAAACAGAAATATTTTGAAGCATGCAATCAGTATATAGGCAAGAGCTTCCTGATTTTATCAAATATCAGTCGCGAAAGTCTGCTAATTAAATAATCACAAAGCCATTCAGGGCTGACTAACTTTCCAAACTTTCCAAAACTTTTACTTGTTGCGAAATGATTCAAAGACATCCAATAACAATAAAAAAGACTTAAATGATTAGATACCTATAGCTAAGAAAGGAATTTTGTTTGACCGTATACTTAACACATAAATGATTTCACTTGCTGTAAACAAAGTTAAACTTTTGCTGATGTAGTAATCTCAAAAGAAACAACTTTGGGGTAAAGTTGAATACGAAAACTTCAATCCAGTTGAATTCACGATCAAAACGCAATTACCTCTCAAATTTTTCTTCCAGCTTTGTGTCAAATTAACTGAAAGTGATAACAAACTTAGAGACTCAGAGCGAGGCCGGTTGAAAACAGATCGAGACAGGAACGGCCAAATTAATGGCAGCCACGAGGAAATTTCTTCTGTATATAAACCCATTCTCAGAACAAACATACGCTCATTAGTTCGATCGAATCGGAGACAAAATTTTACTTTTGCCTCTTGGAAGTGCTCAAGTAATAGTCGTATGAGGCTAATTCCATCTCGATTAATCTCTGGTTGCAATTGATGTTCTTACAATAAACAAGCTTAAATAAATGCACAGTATGATCATAAGGGAATAAAACTCTAGTGTTAAGTCGGGCGATTACAGAACGAAGTAAAACAGTTATAGAAGGTGTATTTTAAGGCTCGAATAATAACTTAATTTTTCTCACTTTTTCATTTAACAGAGCCAGAGTCTACCCAATTTCTCTTGCAAATCTTCGCAAGGGTGTAAGCTCCCTTGGACGCGAAGCATAGAAAACATTACAGACAACAGTAATGATATCTAATGATGAAATACCCAAGTCAGATCTCCAAGCCTCCTCTCTTTGCTTGGAAAGCAAGTCTCTTTTACAATATTTAAAGATTGCGTAGGAGATTGAGAAATGCAAAGTTTTACTTTCAGTTTCGTTAGCATAACCTCCTTAGAAAACTAGTCACGGTTTCCTGCATTAAAATGGAGCTGTCTTTAATGTAGATCACAGGAGAGCCGTTAAGAAAATTTTTTTGCCACTGTCAAAGTAAAAAATAGCTTTGTCGAAACACGCAATCAGCATTTAGGCAAAACCTTCCTGACTTCATCAAATATCAGTCGCAAAACTTGGTTCTTATTAGTTCAATAACCGCAAAGCCATTTATGGCTGACCGACTTACAAACTTTCCAAAACGTTTTCTTGTCGCAACATGATTCAAAGACATCCAATACGAATAAAAAGACTTAAATGATTAGAGTCCTAAAGCTAAGAAAGGAATTATGTTTGACCGGAACGGTACCACATAAATGATTTCACATGTTGAAAACAAAGTTTAAAAAGTTTTACTACTGTAATACTCTCAAAACAAACAACTTTGCGGAAAGTTGAAAAGGAAACCTTTAATCAGAACTTGAATGCCTCTAAAATTCCTGGTCCACACTTTTCGTGAATGAACTTTGAAAGTTCGTTCAGATCAAATCAGTTTGAAAGTGATCACAAAACTGAGAGCCAACCTGTTTCCCGTTTGCTGATCAGTTGACAACGGATCGAGACAGGAACGGCCGAAGTTAACGTTAGCCACGAAGATATTTTTATGTATGTGCATGTACACATTTTCAAAGCAAGCATCTTCCAGACAAATCAAAGAGATCAAATGTTATTTTTTCCTTTTCTACGTGCTCTATAATGGTTGTATACGGCTGTTTCAATCTCAGAATATGACTGGTTGATAATCGCATAATAACTCGTTAAGCTTTAAATTTACAGCATGATTATAAGAGTATTGAACTCCAGCTTAAGTTTAACAATGACAGAAGCAAGTAAAATAGCGATAAAATGTTTCATTTAAGGTTCGAATATTAAAAAAAGTTTTCTCACCTTTCATCTACCAGAGCCACTGTGTACCAAAGTATAGTCGCAAGGTGGAAATGTTCTCTGACAACAACGTACCGCGAGTTAGTTTATGTAGCACTCACAAGTCACGCATGAATGCCATCATAAGCAATTTCCATGGTAAAAGATACACAACATTTCGAAAGAATTTTCTGGAACATTCACAGCTGATGTTTTTCCGCGAACTTGAACAAGCTACTATTTGTTTTGTAAATCACTCCGAGCGAGTTGTTCTCCGGGGGGGTGAGAAATTTCATTCTGGTTTTTTAAAACGCCAGAGTTCAGAAACCATGGGTGTAAAAGCGGACTCGCTGATTGTTGCGAAGGCACGAATAAACGATGGTTTTTACTACATCGGTTGGAATCTTGACCGGTATAAATTGGCGAGGCCATTATTATGGCTAGACAATCCTCCCTGGTCATCGAAAGATGATAAACTTAGGGTAGAAGAAACGCATTTATTCGAAGTAGTCAGCTTCCAACCTAAAAGCGGTCCTTAACCTCATCACATTGATGATGTTCACGTAAAACACGGCAAACGCTGCCAACATGAGGCGGACAAAGTTGATAAGGTGAATTGTTTGGAATTTAATTGACACAGAGCCACGGAATTGTAAAAAAGGTATTTAGCAATATGAATCCAATCAACGGGAAACTCTTCTTCGAACGTACCCGATGCCCATCTGATTGCCCTTTGATTCAGACATATCAATTTTGTCGAAGTTCTCGTTGGGCTGAAAGCAAAACTTGGAATCCAAATATTGCCCCAAGCAACTGCAAAACTCACCAAAATTTGCATGTCAAACTTGATCCAAAAATAGAACTTGTTATACTGAAAAGCGGATACAAAGTTACCTTTTGTTTTATTGATGTAAAATCAAAGATATAAGTGTATAAATCAAACACGAAATTCAAAACTTCAAATCTTTATATTTTTACACGAATATATTTTCAAAGGCTTTAACATTTTTTCCGGTCCAATAATTTGTTGTGTTCGTCTTCCATATGTGAGCTCACGAGACCTTGGTCATAGACTGTTTACCTCTGATGGTTTGAGAAGTCCATGCGATGCAATTACCTCCTCGTTTGTGAACAGTTTTACTGGCTGACGCCAAAAGAGAATGTAGGCATGTCTTGACTGACCTTTGTTTCTTGCCACCCTAAAATTTGCTAGTTCCCAGTCTTTCTTGCGCGGCCGAGGGTTTCGCGAGAGATTAGCACTATATTAACAAAGGGAACGATGAGAAACGAACGAAAATCTTTTTACACGCGGCCTCTCGAGCACTACCTAAATATCTAAAATAAGAGAGACAACTAAGAACGAGTCAGCCTCAGAATGGCATAGGATCATTCGCACTTTCCCAGCAGACAACATCATTTATACCCAGTGCAGGGCGAGTTACTAACGGGTCCATTCTTCCATCATACAAACCGAACACACCTCCTGTTGGAAAATCAGACACACCCTATCAGACGTGTGCGAAATTCGCATGACAACGTTACAAATCAGGTCTCGCCATTTTCAAAGGATTGGTAACACCATCCTCTGAGCAAAAATATGAAAGTTTATCACCTGTAGATGTTGTCATATTCAGTCTTCCATCAAAAGATATATCTTATCAGAATTCTTGGTTTGTTGTATCGGTAACTATTTTTACGAGTTGTAACATATTTTGTCGATCACGCAGGGCGAGTCCAAACACAAACTATGAGTAAAAATGCCCAGCGATACTACACACCAAAACTTCTCATAAGTTATTGCCCAACTGCTTTATTTCATGGGCAAAAAGTGGGAAAAGCGACGCAAATAGAGAAGTGCAACACGCGCAGCCAACCGATTAAACAAGTTTTTTTACAGTACAAAATAACCAAATGTACAATATCACAGGAAATTTTTTACTAGATTCGCGCGTTAATTGTACTCTATTTAGTGCAATTGAAAAATAATGAGCAATTATTGGATGAGGTTGAGCATAATATCATAAATTAGCAATGCCGGGGTCTGAGCTATCTGCCGAAGCCGAAAGCCGAGGCAGATAACACAGATGCCAGGTTTGATAATTTATAATATCATGCTACAACCAAATTCAATAACTGATTTATCATTTATTTTTTGAAACAATTTGCTAAAGAAGAATCTTCTCTCTGATTTTGCAAGAGTTTGAGAACACTACACGGACGAAGGGCTTGGACACTAGGCAGAATTTAAACGCGACACGAGAAACCAATATCTGCTATTGTATATCGAATGTATGCTCTCGACCAATCAGTCTTCATAGTAAGTCTAACGTATAATAATTTTGCTTCCACGCGAAAGAAAGTACATACCACATGCAACCATAGTACATGTTACGGACAACTGATACTTCTACGAGGGATCAAAAGTGGGATCTCAAGGTTGCAATTTACCTACCTGGTTGAGAAAAATATCATGGTATGTACAATTATTTACCAAAGCCGATAGCCAAGTTCAGTAATCGTTTTTTTCCTCTTTTTCATTTGATTAATGAGTTTCGTTTTCCACATCATTTCCCAAAATCACTCGTTGACAACTTAAGGTGATGTACCTTTTTCCTTCAGGCTGACAAGCGCACAACCACGCATGAGCAGAATATCATTGCAGGGAAATCGCATTTCCAAGAGATTACCTTTGAGAAACCATTATTTCAAGGTATGCAGGTTCTTAGCCATAGGGAAGGAAGTATTTATCACTGATGATGTTGATAAATTGTACTCACCAGTATGAATATAAAGTATTCTGTGACCCTCAAATCGCCCTGGGTTGGTGTTCATCTCGTGTAGCATTCCTCTAATGGCTTTGACGTTGTACACGGGGTCCACCATAATTCCAGTTGTTCTGGATATCTCCACAATGTCCTCTTCATTAACAGATACAAAGATTTCAGGGTTCGTAGGAAGCGAATTCAAATGCAAATGGTTAAGAAAAATTTAAATCATGTTTTTATTTGGTAATCAAGCAATTTCGAATGTATTTTGGAATAAATCAGGAATAAATAAGCAATAAATTATAATAATTATGGATATAATTATCCATTATTATTGTCTTGCACAAACCTGTGGTAAAGAGGGGGGGAGGGGTGGGGCAGGTAAACTTTGAGGTCTGAAACATCATTGAGTGATCATTCCTTCTAAATTGCAAAACAGATACACTGATCGCTTGTTAACAGAGTACATATCATTTTAACTTTCAGCCATAAAATTTTAGCTTTTAATTTGCACTGAAATAAATCAACATGCTGTCAGCCAGAGAGCATTCTGAAAACAAATTTTCCATGTTTGGCGTTAGTACAGGATCAGAAAGAAATGAGGGGCAAGCTTTTTTTCATATTTTTGAGTTTTGGAAAGGTTATTTACTAATAGATAGAAATAACTCTTTTCAACTTGCATGTCATTTCAGTACCTAAATAAGCAGGTTATTATTTAATATATTATGTAGAAGATTACAAGAAACTCATCCTTTTGGGCAAAGTCTATAAAAGTTGTGTGACTCAAAAAGGAAAAAAATTTTTTTTTTAATTTTTTTTTTTAATTTGCCTGACAGACATCTCCAAAAAGGAGGGACTGCTTGTATTCTAATTATGAAGAAACCAAAATCTGCAAAATTATTTGAATAAACACCAACCTAACTCTTCTTGAGTGGATTTGCCATAGCCCTGTCCTTTGTATCCATCAATAATATCAATTAACTCTTCTGCTTGAACATCTAGTCCACCTATTTGAAGGTCTTCATTGATTTTCTGGTAAAAATATGCTGCATCATCACACACGTTTACTGCATGACACCTGTGAATAAATGACAATGATGATACTATTAAAGGTCTCAATAAGTCTCTAGTGTTCAAAGAAAATAAGGGAAAATTCTAGAAAGATTTAAAGGCCTGTGAGAAATTCTCCAGAACCACAATCTCTTTGTCTGAAGTCTTAAGCATGTATAGCTTAGGTACTTGCAGAAATTTTTATCAGCCTATAGGTCAAGAGAATAAAGCTTTTTCATAACATTCATGAAATAGTTTGTCAGGGGTTCTTGAAAGGTGATATAGCATTTCAATGGAAACTATAACAAAATACTCTAATGTGATTGGTCATCATCAGCCCAATTTAAGCATAAATAGGACATTGTATGTGTCATATGCTTCTGTCTGAACAGTGTAATAGAACAGTTGATGCATCATGCCTGTATGAGTCGATAGCATATGTCATGTACACACCTTGTTATGAAAATGCACAACCAATACATCTAGTTTCTTTCTCAAATTTGTCATAGTTTTGATAAATTGGTAACAGGACTTAGTGTTAACATTAATATAACTGACTCCCACTTCACAGTCATCTGATTGTATTAATCACTTGTAAGATAACAGACCGAATTGAATTCCACTCAGTCCTATTATTATTATTATTATTCCTAAGACCAGTAAATCCCTGGATGTAAATTTAATGAAAAAATTTTACAAAATCAAACCCTTTAGATGAAGAAAAGCAATGGTGGCAGTGGTGCCATAAATGATGCAGAGCTCTGTATATGCTGGCCTCCTGAGATGCAAACAGCAAGAAGAAAAGAAGACAAAGAGTGCTGATCAAATGACAAAATCCTTAATGACTAAGTGGGGACAAGCCAGACTGGAAAATATTTGGCCCCTGGTCATAATGAACAGATTAGTCAGAGAAAGGGTCTATATGTCATGACCTTGAGCCAGATTTTTTCTTGTTCAGCCCTTCCACACAGTCAAGAAAGAAAATATCAATATTTTTATTCGGAGCTTACTTGAGTTTTGATCCTGTTAAATAGTTACCAATGGCAATTCCTGATGCACTTCCACCACTGCCAACTGTAACAACAATGTCATCAAAATTCTTCAGCACATTCTGAAACAAACAAAGCCAGCTTTTTGACAGATATCCAGAATAAAATATTTTAACAAACAGGCTTTTGTGTGATCAGTGTTTAACTGCATTCATCACCTCTTGGCCAGAAATGCACAAAATGCGCACACAATGCAGAAAAAGCTTGTAATTTTACCTGATCTATCATTTCTTGAAATGCTGTTAAGTAACCAAACATCCCCATGTAAGAGGAGCCTCCAACTTCAATCAGATAAGCTGACGAGCCCTGTTCTTTCCTGAAAAAAAAACCAAACAAAGTCAGTAGGAAGGAACTTTGACATCTACAAACATGCCTTGGCATACATGCTGGGTTTTCATTGAGAAACAGAAGTAGGTGAGGCAGGTAAGTAAGCAAGTAATTTGAGGAGAATATTCTCCATATCTGGGTCAAAAATAACCTAGCCCATCAAAACTTAGTTCAAGAATTCTCCAATATCTGCTGCCTTCTTTACTCACTGCATAATAATTATAATAACAACTCTCTTGAGTTTTCCTAGCATTTCCCCAGAGTCATACAAAAGAGCAGAATCTATTGGTCTCCTGAGTGGTTTATATGACCTCCTGGCCAACAAGATACTTTTCTTAAAGAATGCTTTAAGTGGCCTAAAGAATGGTTGACCTGTTTTATTCATTCCTATCTTTCTTTTTCACCTTTCTTTTTCTTCACTCATAATTTATTAAACTATTTATTATTTGTTCATTCATATTGGGCTTCTTGTATCCAGTTGCTTTCAGATTGTGGCAGAAGACTGGTACAAAGCAGTAAATTATCAAACTAAGGGGAGAGGGAGTGGGTCCCATCCATAATAGTCCATTTTACAGGTGTGTGCTTGGTTTCCAAGCCTTTCAACAGGAGTGAGGCTAAGGGTAACCATGTTATGATACAAACCTTGCTGCTTCTCAAATGTAAATTGCTTTGTTGTTAAGCTAACCAGGTACTGGTCTCTATCACAACAAGGTCACCTACAGCCTCACTTCAAATCAAAGGCTTGGCAACTAAATACACAACTGTAAAAAGGCCTAAACTTCTCAAGAATTCTGACATTCTGAGATTAGCACCTAAAAGGCTGCATTGTAGATATGGCTTAATTTTCAATTCCTTTAAGAGGAACCAACTTGAGAGCCAATAGCAGCTCCTGTAATATTTTTGCTTGCCTTCATGTTTTAGAAGATGTGCTAAGGTGGCGGCCATCATGATTTTCATCAGTTTTCACCACAAAGATGGTACTGTTCAACTAAAATGTCCCAGGCATTACAGTAAATTCATGCAGTTTTTTTTAAACCTTTCAAGCAAGTTCTGCCAGTGAGATCTATCCCTGCAACTAAACCTGTTACTGGTAAATTAATACACAGTCAATTCCACTGTAAAATGGCTGCAACACAAATTTCTTCAAAAGAATTTCAATATTTTCATTGGCAATTATAATACAATGAGCTGGTCCATTACTGTCACTTAGTGACAGCTCTGTCTAAAAGTAAAGCCTAATGTCAGTTTGAGGTAGATTACTTTTAATGATTGCAACCATAGTGGTGCCAACTTGCTAAGTTTTACAGTTCTCTGACCTTTCACTTACAATTTTTCAGACACTTTCTCCATCATTTGTTTAAGGCCAGATTTGTACTGAAGCTGAGGAACAACAATAATTTGACTTCCAACCAATTTGTTTAAAAACAGGTTTCCTTCACAACCAATATCTGTGGTCTGCATGAAAAAAAAAAAGATCAAATGAAAGTTTCAATAAGTTTATTAACTTTCTCAGAGTTTCACCATCTATGTAAGGCAAAATTGGTGCTTTTTTTTTCTCTGAAATGAGCAACATTAGAGTAAAGATTGAACTTCTGTTAGCAGCCTGTTATACAGTTTTTTCTGTCTGGTTCAAATCTCAAAGAGACATCTGCTTAACTATAGTATGTAACAGTGTAATTGTGAATCTTCTCATCTCATCTTCATATGAGTCCACTGTTCAATGCAATGTGAGGAGCTTCTATTTCACAAACAGATTCCATCTTTTGCAAATAAAAAAAGCAAAGACTGTAGGTTTTGAGCTTGATAAAGAAATATAGAAAGATGTTTTTTTGTCTTGTTGCAAGTGTGGGAAAAGAAAAAGTGCTGAGATTCCATGTTATTGTGTGTTTGTCAAGTTGTCGTTGGTAATAGATCACATGGACGCCACTCTTTGTCTGATTTATCATAACTTGTGCTTAGGGGTAACAGATCTTTGATCATGACTCAAGCTGCTTAAAATCTTCTGTACAGTTCTTTCCTAAAAAGTCAAGAGTAAATCAAATACTTACCTGTTCAGGACTTCGTAAGAACAGGTAACAATCCAAACCAAGTTGTCTTGCAGCAACTGCAGTGCTTCTGCAATGATTGGACTGGATTCCACCACATGTAAATATTGTGTCACACTTCTTGTCCAGGGCATCAGCCAACAAAAACTCCAGCTTACGAACCTAAAACAATATTGGCATAGCTGAATGAGACAAGCACAATTTAAGGTTACTCAGCAGTTGAGGATGCACTTAACCCTTTACACACTCAAATCAGTATACATATTCTCCATACTGTTCTGTATAGATTTCCTAAAGTGCTGGTGCAAGGAGAATTTGTCTAACAATCAAGAGCATCTTGAAGCAGGTGATCATTTGCCTTATGCCCATGACCTCAATATGCAATCCAGGCGTGATTTGTACGGAGAAATTAGATACTATAGTCACTGAAAGGGTTAGTAAGAAAAACATATGAGATGACTTTGACCACAGGTACAGACGCAACTGAAGCTATGCATTTCCATATAATTTATGGTCACTTTATTCAGATGATTGCAAGGTACTTTTACATTACTCTCATTTGCATTAGAACTGGTATACTCTCTTTTGCATTTGTTTTAGCATAACAGCAGCTTCCACATTGCAATATTTTCAAACAATAGTGATCATCCACAGATTTTCATTGCTCACATGCAAAACAGTAGGTTGAACCATCTTCAGCTATCTCTTGATTGAGACCCTCAGCTGTACAAAAAAGTATCATAAGCTGTAAGGGCTTAAATTTGAGAGGATAAAAACTTGAAAACCAAAGTAGCTGTCACTGTAAAAAAGATGTCTGTACTCTCAAAACAGGCTAGCAAAAATGTAACTGCTATCACAGTGGACTTCCTCTCTCTTTCGTGTGAGCAGTTTAATTACTACATACTGCATTTATCAGCATCATGATACGTTCAATGCTTCGATCACAGTTGGAAATTTTAAGTGAACCAGACACATCCTTTTGAATGTTAACCAGTTCTGATGCAAAATTGTGAATTTTAGAATGATATAAATAATACTCTTAGACAAGCACGAAAACATGTTTCTGTTTTCTAAAATTAAAAAGGTCAGTTACCATACTATTACTTACAAGAAATAAATTGGATTTTAAATAAACACTGCCCTTGTAAAAACACTACCCTAGAATAAACGCTGCACTCGAATCATGAAAAATTAATAAACCCTGCTGGGGTTTTGAGTAAATATGGTATGTGTCATCATCCTTTGAATATCACAGTCATAGTAGAGGATGGATGCCAAACAAACTGTTGTCTAGTTTTCCTACTGAACTCAAAGGAGAGTTCTTCTTTACAACACAGGCTTTCCAAATAAATTGTGCAACCTCTTGCCTGGATCTCCTGTGACTGCACCAACCTCTAAGGTTCATCTTACTGAGCTCACTTATTGTTGATGAAGTTAATACCACATCTTAATATTTACTAATTAAAGATGTTGATCAAGAACTGAATTCCAAGCTGTGTACCTTATTTCCAGACAGAGTACTTCCTGTCATGTCATCCCTTTTAATAAATAATGAAAACTCTTTTGGGAGACTGGGAAGATTCCAGTGATGTATTGGAGTATCACGCTGAGCAAGCTACAAAACAAAAATACTTAAAGTTCCATCAGAACCACTTAAAAGAGAACCAATTAAAATTTTAGATGTTCCAATCTGCAATAGATCATTCCTTGTTAACATAAATTTTTCCATGGCCTACAAAAATGTTTAAGATCCAAGTAACAGAGGTTTTAGATAATAAACTTGATATTACTTTCCTTTGTTCTATTAGTGAGAAGTTAGTCAGTCACATGCTGACCAAAGACCAGTACATTGGACTCTGTCCTAAATAATGCTAAGAACAAGAATAAGGGGGTGTACGTCTTAGACACATTTTTCACATTTTTCCGGGGAAGAATGCCTCCTTACATACCCACCCACCCCCCCCTCTCCCTACCCTACCCCGTTCCCAGAAAGGTGATAGCCGAGCGCGGTATCACACTCGATGGACATGTGGTGGAACATTTCACCCTTTACCAGAAGTCAAACTTGAGAGCTCTGAATAAAGCCTTTTTTATATTACCTTACCTTAACGTAGTATCGTGGAATATTTTTCAGCTTGGAGGCCCATTTTGGGGGCTCGTAGTGGTGAAGTTGAGTTAGCTTATTTATGCCACGATGAAGATTCCTACTCATTCTCGAAGAAAGTAGACACTACCAGCCGAAGTTCAATAACCAAAATCATGCCATATATATTGAAAAATTCGGTTATAGATTTATATGATTTTGCGACATTTTGTCTATGCTTGTGATCGACTTTGATTGATGTCAGCGGACTTTGGGAGACAAAATATTGGTCATGTAAGAGAGCCTCAAAATTCTATTACCATCGAGCTTGAGATGCCTGTCAATTCAAACTATGGCTTGAATCCTACGCATCGCCGTGCGTTCACCAGACTTCGTGGAGCATATCAGACAAAACTTGCCTTTTTTAAAGTGTTTTTGTTCTTTGTTGAACTGCTCGTGGTCTCCACCCCATCAGCTATCTTTGCATAATAGATCACAAGCTTTCCTACATTAAAAACATTTACTGAAAAAAAAAAGCAAATCTGTTTTCTACTTTGAAGTCAATTAGTCAGTTTGAGCAATCAGCTGCGCTTCAGGGGTGCAAAAGCTTTTGAATAGTAAGCTGTTTGTTACCGTAAATTTTGCATAGCTAAAAGCCCCCAGGGTAGACTGTATTGCGTTGTGCCAGCGGACAATGGTTGACTTTTCAAAACAACTCTTATTTGATGGAAACTGTTAATTGCAACTCTATTGTGCAGTCTTCTTTGTTTTTATTCTTTCAGCTTGGTCATGACGCAATTAGATTTCTCTTTTATGTTTCTTTAAATGCGGCTTAACTCATTTTTTTGAAATTATAACCTCGAGGCTATTTCACAGGCGACCGTGAAGTAATTTCACTAGGAGCACACTTCTGTTCTTAGTTCGGCAGCGTTTTTGTCTTGTTTATTGGGAAATGAATATGCATATTAGATGCTAAAGTGTTTGTCAAAACAGAAAACTATTCACACTCTTCGCTAGGAGATCATCCAACTGTAAGAACCAATAGAGCTCGATCTAGTCTCTGTAATATTGTGGAAAATCGTACTTCAGCTCTCACGAGCAAAAAGCTTTCACAAGCCGAAATTTAGACAGGGTTTTGTCTGGTAATTATACGAAATGCTGAAAAAGTTTTCTGTCGCAAACGCTCCGCCTCGCTTCGATTTGGGTCAGGTACCAAATGTTGGAGAGGAGAGTGATTCCCACGTGTTTTGCCACGGAAAAACAGCAAAACTACACTCGAGAATTGGAGGTTTTCAAGATGAAAAACAGGTCAGTACATCACGGTGTCTTTGATAGCAAAACAAGTTTATTCTAGTTATCATATCCGAATATGGTCTGTGGCCAGATACTGCTAAGAGCTGAGACCAGCCGAGTTTTACTCATGTACCCTAATCGCTGACCGCACAGAAAATTTCTCGGTCGATATTTCTTAGCTATGCACGAGTCACAAAGACCATTTAAGGAATTAAATATTTTGAGTGAAATGCCTACAACGCGAGAAATGGAATCGAAATAGGTATTTTGGTTCCTATATTTTATCGACAAAAATAACTACACTTTAAAAAACTTATCAGTTCCTCGACTACAAAATATTTTATGGTATTTTCAAATTGAAGTACTTTTCAAAATTTCGTGCTCTAATAAATTACTACGGATTTGTTTTGTTAGAGCTTAGATATTTCATTCATCGCATTCGAATAAACTTTATCAATTAGGTACAATCAATTTTCCTATGAAAGAGCACAGTTGAACAATTAGAATGAAAACCAGCCATAATTCTAAACTTTAAGAGGAACTTAAGAGTTCTGTCGAATCCCTTGCGTGCATATCGTGTGTGCTTGTAAAGTGCTGTTGTTTACTTGAAGTGGTTTAGCGAAAAAATCTGTGAAATGTAGTCCTGTGGTTTTTTATAACCCCACAGATTCTCTCGTTGATTAACTATGAATTTCCTATTGTTTTGACTTTTAACTGAACAATCATGCAAAGCATTTTAACGAGTTAATTTTAGCGCCTGCTAAAATGTGGTATTATGAACACAATCCCGCCTCAAAGAAAAGAATCAACTGAACACAGCTTGTTATGTCTTGAGCTATCACGTTTTCACCATAATCAATTGTAATCGGCTCACGCAGTTTTTTCTCGAAATATACTAGAGCCTATTTCGTCATTTTCGCACTATTATGTCAATAGTTTCCTAGTTACAGTCATAAACATGACATACAAGAACTTGGCATCCAAGTGTGAAACTGCTGTAAATCTTTTAATTCAAATTAAAAAGGTGTTTCGAGCACGGAAAAGAAAAACAGAAAGAAAACAACAAACCCTTCCTAAATAAAACCCAAAAGCTTGTGTCTATTTGAAGTAATGATCCACTTTGGAATTTCTAACTCTGCTGTTTACCAATACTACTCATAATAATTTGCCTGACTGGTCATGGCTTCGCAGTCCTAAATTAAGGTTATTCTTTTCAAAGACGTCGATGAAAAAAAACAACCCACAAGACGCTTTTAAGAAACTATGTAGATTTGACAACTTCTTTTGGATCAACTTTCACTATGCAATATCTGGTATTAGATACTCAGAGCGCCCTGATTGATCAAAACTTTTGAACCTATCGTTTATAGCACTGATAAACCCGTGGAAGATTGAAGTTTACAGTATTTAAGATGAAAGCAACAGACAGCTCTTTCTATCGGTTTACTGAAGTAATAACCCACTTGGGAAGTTGGGAGAACGCTCAAAAGTTTGTCTAACTTTCCTCGTATTTTCCATCTGTTCTGTCGGGAGTTTAAGAAAACCACAACGGCAACGGCGACGGGAACGTCAGCAAACAAAGAATTTAATTAATGAGCAGAACAATAGCTGTGCACGAGCGTTATAAATATTTGTAAATTTTTATGTGTCCTCTGCAAAACAACAACGTGAAACGACCAAACTTTGCGTTGTCTGATGAGGGTGGACGACGACTAATTTTTTAAATTTCTTCTTCTTATTTAACGCTTTGTTCCATATTCAGGTTCGAGATAGTTTTGACAGTAAGAAGCAAACCAAATGACTTAAGAGTATCGCGAGATTCGTAGGTAAAATATAAGTTTATTTTTTAACCGACGTTGTCCTCGGCGTCGCCGTCGTCGTTTCTTAAAATTAAAGGGACCTTAAACAATCAGGACGGTAACGCCAAGAAAAACTTCGATTAAAAAATGAATTTCTGCCTTTAATTAGAATTTCAAAAATGTCTGCATTTGTTTACCGTCTCTAACTGCGCCACACCTCAACTTCAGCCTAAACGTATAAAAGAAGCGTTGAGTTCCAAATGGAAATTAAAATGATTTGCCGTCGCTTTCGCAGACGACCCAATTTAAGAAATGTACAAAGTCTTAAAACGCACGTGCTGAGCTATTGTTCTGCCAATTAGATCTTTTGTTTTTTCCATGTCCTCCCTAAACTCGGTCTTACTCCGGTATAAATCCTAATTAGCGATGAGGGTATTAACCACGTTTTTTGACAACATCGCCTGTTTTCTTAAATGACCGTAACTGATTGGAATCTTGTCACTTCAGCTCTACCGAAACAGCCTGTTCTTGTTTGATGGTGATACTAATCCAAAAATACCTTCGGCAACTCGTGCATTAAGTACTTAATCTAGAGCGGATGAAACACGGTTGAGAACTTGGTCTCGAAGCAATGCAAGGTTGCTCTTATCTCAAAAGGGGAAAACACGGAGAGTTTTCGACAATTATTGTACCCAACCAACTCCGTAAAATAATAAACGGGACGACTAATTACCGCAGTGCCTACATCTTAGTGAGCGAGTGAGTGCATGATTTATTTGCATATCGGAGTCCCGTATGAGTTAAAAATATAAGGTGATCTAATTATGGTTCGGTATGACCCTTCCAGTCGTGTTATGAACGCTTTTGTTACCAGTAAAACGCGTCTATGCTTTCGCAGGTCAGAACTGACTTTTAGCGAGGACACTGTCGCAGAGGTAAAATATTCGCACCAGATTTCTATTCTTGAAAGATAATTCAAGCTTCGTCTTCATCAGTTACTACACGATAGAAATCTTAGGTTTATACTTTAATGGTTGAAAATCTCTGACAAAGGGCTAATTATGAAGCTCGAGACGTCAGCTTTACAGTGGCCAATTCATATTATCAACCCAGTTGATGAAACCAAATTATCTTCAATAATTACCCCCACCAACGCAGCACCACAGTTTCTCTCTAAACTTACCCCCTTCATTCAGTGCGTATCGTAGCCAATCAGGTTGCTGCATTTGTGGTAGAAAGTTATTAGCTCTATACTAACAAACAGTATACTGAAATCCAGGGAACAAGACTGAGGAAGGTGTCCCTGATGCCACCCATTCCATCAGCAAGAAATTCACCTTCCTTTAGCAAAACGTCAGGTTCTCGAGGTAGTGATGGATTGCAAACATATTCCGAGAATGACCTGGATCAGAACAACAACGACATGTATGGACTCAAGGTTTTTGGTGAAACTGGCTATCTGGCGATGAATTCTGGGAAGAAAAGCACGGCTGAGAAACTGAGTGACACTGGATTCCAGCTTTACACTTCTAACGACTCTAATAAACTTCCAAAAATCTTAAAACCCAAGAAAAAAGTCAGCAAGGGCTCGAAAAGGAGAAAGACAAATGCTATGAACGATGGAAGTCAAGGAAGCCAAGGCAGTGATTTTTATGCTCAGTTGGGAGGGACAGAGGATGACAAAGGTACTTCAAGTGAATCAGCTGCAGGACAAGATAGTGGAGACCTTATCAACAAATATGGACTGGACCTTAAAAGAGATTTCAGTAAGTTATTCAGTTTCTGCAGTTATTGTCGAAACTCAAGGCAGTGCACCTAAGCGCGATCCAAACGCCACAAATATGATTACTAAAAAGATTAAAAAGAGAAAACGATGGGGGGGGAGGGGAGGGGGGGGGGTTAAGGACAGAGAACCTTATGGGTCTGACCTGCGTATGAACCGATTCCACTCAAGCTATTTATAGAAAATCTCTTTACCGGAAGTTTCCCGAGACGTTCACATAATGGTTAACCTCAATCCGATTTTCTGATCTAGAGCTATACAAAAGTAGACTGTTTAGGAGTCAAGGACAGATGTTAGATCATCTTCATTCTCACTGTGGCGGAACATCATACATGTGCCATACACCCAAATCGATTGGTCAACCCTCAGAAGTTGTACATTTTTTGTTTTTTAAAAGGACTTTGTTCGCACAATTTTTTGCCACTGTTGGCTTGCAAATACGTTTGAGGTCTTGAACAACGCTAGCCGGCGCGATTGGTCTGGAAATGATAATTAGTGCCAGATCCCATGAAGACCTCTCGCTGACTTGTTCTGCTCAGGTGAAGAAACGCTCATGCACCCATTATGCGGGCCTGCGCGCTGGCTATGAAGAATTTAACATTTGTTTTAAGCGGATTCATGATCTGATGGGTGCATTAATCCTTCAACCCCCATGAGTGACCTAGAGAGAATTTCTCCTTACAGTTTCAATGCAATATTAAGCAGACAAGTGATGAGAGTAAAAAAAATATAGCGATTAGCGGATTTTTAGTCGATCCAATGCCAAATTCTCCAAACTAACATTATAGAAATTGCATGGCAGATAGTAAGGAGAATTACTGATCAGATCTTGGGAGTGAAAGGGTTGAGAGTAGGTATAGAGATATTTTGTTCTCTTTCTAACGGTTTTTAACTTCTTTTGTTTTTTCAGATATGGAAGTGACAAGGCCATTTACCTTTTCATATTTTCCTGAAATTCATATCAAGAAAAAGAAAAAAGGGGGTGACAAGGAGACTGGGAAGAAAATACAGCGAAAAATATCTAAGGTTAAAACGCCTTCGAGCCTCTCTTGAGCCAGCGAAATGCACCTGAGAAATTACTTTTTAGATTTGCCAAGCCAGCGGTTATCAATACTGAGGTTCTGATTGTATGAGCAAAGCTCTGCAGCACCGAAAGCGTTACTCCGTTACAACTCAAAATAGAATTCCAATAACATCGACTCTTACGGGGCTGGTTACTTTGTTTCGCCTGGAGGGGGTGGGGGTTTGGAGGATTTTGCTTGTTTCACGATGATAAAGCTCTGTAATATCCTTATGATATATTTCCCACCCCCCTCATTGGCAGTCAATTTTCTAAGGCTCCCCCCTTTAAACTCTATTGCTACCCCCCCGCGACCTCAGTTCTCCGTGAAAACCATGTGATCCCCCAAATTCCTCCACCCTCCCCTCCCCTCCGGACGACAAACTTTGACTGGTCACCAACGTGGAAATGAATTTGTTATCAGGATATACTAGGCACTACCATCCTAAACTTATGTTGTCTGTGGCAATAATACAAATTCTTGTATTCCATGACCAAAGAGAACTCCTGGGATGGACGATAGAAGCCCTGATGAAAATAGTAAATGTCGAGCACACTTGACCACTTTTAAGAAGTTCTTAGACATTTAGTCTTGTGCCAAGTCAGCGTCTTTAAAATCAAGCGTATTTCATAAATAATTCACGAATGATAAAATGCTCCAGAAAGGGTAAATGAGATGTTCTAGTACCATTAGAAATATACCCAATTTGTTATATTCCTTGTATGAAAAGATTTTCTATGGTGTGAGTCTCTAACATCTAAATTCCAAACCCCATTTTGTTTCCCTTTGCCTGTTCGCAAACGGGCCAAAACTGAGAGCTGTTGTTGTTTACCATCTCTAAATAGAACCCTGGAAACTGAGAATGGGCGTCACAATTTCAACATCAACGACGAAAAAAAATCCTGCCAGAAACCTTAAACGAAATATGATCCGCTTTCAGAGTATCGCGTTGTTCGCTTTTGAAAGCGCGCCATAATTATGTTTTTCCCTCGGGTGGCCTGGAGATAGCAAAATGCAAATAAGAGATGATCTGGGTACAAACGTATATTATTGTCAATCAAAATGGCGTCCACTCCAGCAAGCAGCGAAGTAGATCCCGAAGAAGATGCCGGGGAAATAAGATTGGACGTGCACAACACCGGACAAGCTGCCGAATATCCCGACTTTGCAATAATCTGGTCGTTTCTGGTGAATTTTAAACACCTTTTACACTTTCCTGACCTAACTTTGGACAATTTGGAGGATGGGTTTAACAACCATTCGCCGGAAAATGGTAATTGATGTCAATTTCTTCATTTAGTTGTAAATTTCAGGACTTGTTTCTGCAAAAACGGACGAGTTCTTTTACTTCAATGACACATGATGACACTTTTGAAGGCTTTCATAGCCTTGCGGTTTTGTTTTTAGGCTGCAAATGACAACGCCTTATGCAAGATCGCTTATATTCGTGTGATACGGCGAAGCTTTTGTTAGACGCGCGAACAAAGCGCTTTTATTTCAAACAGCTGCAGAATTTCACTGGAGTGTCAATTGTGACTTTTTTGACGATTTTAGCTCGGATGACTTTGTAGTTTCCAGATTAACGTGTAAATACTATGGTTATCGTTTTGTCTTTACCTAAGAAAGTACTTTTGCGTGCAACGTTGTGGATTTCTCGATCATCGTTATGCGGTGAAAGCAATTCGGTGTCAAGCGTTATATTTATAAATACTATGACTACATAAGAGTCCATGTTTTTATGCATTTTGGGCGAGTTTGAATTTTTAATTTTGTGCTTGGATTGTTTGGGTTCGATGCTGTTATAACGATCTTGTGGAAATTTCGTCTTAATGTTATCTTAAACGATTATCTTTTTAGTCTATGTTGTAATTCGATAAGTCCTTGTAAGAAAAATCCAGTTCTTGTTTTCGACTCATAAACTAATCTTTCAGTTGTCTTTGATCTCCTTTGCAATGTATATAAGAAGGAGTTGGTGTTTGTGGGAATTTTTTTTGTGATTTATCTACTCCAGTTCACAATTATAGTTAAATCTTCAGTTAAAAAATGAATATGGTTTAGTTGGATCTCACATTTTGTAACTTAAACTTTATTTTCACTCGAAAAATTAAAAGACTTTGGTGACCTCCTTTTGGGAGAAGTCCAAACAATTGTCTTTCAATGAACTCCTGACTGAAAGAAATAAGTGCCTCATACCTCTCCCCTCTTTTCTTAGTGAGTTAGGGGGGAGGGGAGAGGCAGAAACTTGCTCCAAACAGCTGGAGAAGAGGCCAGAGGTTTAAAGGCTTTTTTGCGGGTAAATTTTTTTTATTCACACAACTGTTACTAAGTGAAGTTTATCAAAATATGTAGTAAAGTTGTGCCTGTAATTTCTTTCTATTTTCATGAATTGATTGTTGACTAGCAGAAGATTGTGGACGATATTATCTAAAAGGAAACTGTAAAAGCAAAAATTATATAAATCTCTCTCAACTTTCGTTATTTTTGCTTTATTTAGCATTAAGGGTTTTAAGGTGAACTTTTAGATCTTTGATTACCAAATAATCTTTCAGAAGTTCTTTTGATTTAACCAGTATTAACCTTTGGTAAGATTGTACAGCAGTTGTAAATTTTAATACAAGTGAAGATGTCGCCCACGTCATCAAACAATCTACCAAATGATGTTATTCCTTGCTTTGTAAAATGGACTGTTTTATAATATTACTGTTTTTGGTCAACAGTTGGACATCTTTGAAATTGTTGTTATGTAGAAAGCTTTAATGCAATTTGAAATGAATTTCTGCTCAAAATTGCCACAACTAGTTGGATATGTCTTTCACTTTATTCTAGATAAGTGACAAAGGCAGAGTTTCTCCTTACAATATCAGACAAGTGATGAGAACAAAGAAAAATATCAATAAGGAGATTATTAGTAAATACAGATTCTCCAAATTCTCTGAACTAACATCATAAGAAATGTATGGCATTCAGTAAGGAGAGTTACTCATTAGATCTTTGGATTAAAAAGGTTAAAAATAGAAAAACAGGAACCAAACTGGTTTGAATTCATTTTAACGTGAACTAATTTTAAACTACAAAAACTATGTCTTTCACGTTATTTTGATCACACTTATATAATTTCATATTTTTGCAGGTAATGTTGAGATGCTAGTGGAATTATATGTGAAGCTTTTGAGACGATTGGGGATCTCTGTTAACGTGGAAAAATGGGAGAAATCTTTACTGAAGGTTTGTGTTAAGAGCATTAATTCAAGATAGTAGTATTGCCTTGTACAAGTTAACCCTTTAACTCTCATGGATGTCCAAGATAGAATTTCTCCTCACAGTATCAATAAAATATCAACCAGATAAGTGATTTGGGGATAATGAGGTGATCCAATACTAAATTCTCTGAACTTATATTATAAGAATTGTATGGTTGACAGTAAGGAGAGTTACAAATTTAATCTGGGAGTTAAAGTGTTAAAAACAGGCCCTTGATCTACTCTTAAACTGTTTTGATGTGATCCCATCACTGTGAGCACATTTGTCAAGTCATGGTCTAATGTTTTTAAAGCATTTTTTGCAAACCAAATTTAATTATTTTAGATTTTGCCAAATCATAATCCTTTAATGATTTGTGCTCTGGTAAAAATATTTCGAGGACATGCTCTAGAAAATGCCTTTAACTCTCAGAAGTGATTAACATGTAACTTCTCCCTATAATATCCATAAATTATCCAGCAAACAGGTAATAAGAATACCCAAAGTTATCAAGGAGAAATTGTTATCTTCATCTAACACCAAATTCTTGTCACTAATTTACAAGGAAATGTGTAGCAGCTAGAGGGGAGAATTAACAATCAGATCTTGGGAGTTAAAGGGTTACTTGGAAACCGCTTTGTTGTTGCTGGATACTGCTTTGATAACCCTTTAAGCCCTGTGCGTGAATTTGTTGTGAAAATTCTCTTGACTTAACTTGAATTATTGTCTTCTATAAATTATTATGAGAATTTGATAAAGATCAGGGGAAAGTCACTTTGTTGGTTACTGGTAATTCTTTGATTCTCTTCATATTTTACTGGTAATTCTGATGATGTGCTGATAATTTACTGTTAGGTGAAATTTGATGGTGACCACTTTTGGGGCTTAAGAGAATATTTGAAACTTTTTAAAAATTTTTATGCTATTTATTGAGCAGCCTTTACTCTCTTGAGCATGCACCGAACCCCAGCCCCAACCATTCTCTCCTTATTTGAAACAAGGACCCCCTTCGTTCCGCCTCCAGAAGAAATTGGTATTGATATTGGGCCATGGTATTCTGCATGCTTTTTCAATATTCACCATAAAACCTTACTGGTAATTATCAGTGAGATTATGAACTCTACTGATGTATTTAACCCTTTAACTCCCATGAGTGACCAAGACAGAACTTCTCCTTACAATATCAATACAATATCAAGCAGACAAGTGATGAGAATAAAGAAAAATATCAGTCAAGGGATTGTAAGTTGATCCAATACCAATTCTCCAAACCAACATCACAAGGGCTGTATAGCAGACAGTAAGGAGAATTACTAATGAGATCTTGGGAGTTAAAGAGTTAAATAAGGTTAGCCTCTACCTCAAAACATGATGGCCTAATGATTAGCGTAATGAACTGTGGGTTAAGGGGTCTGGTTTTAACCCTACAGACCCTAACATCAGTATGCATATTCTCCATACTGTTCTCCAGACACTTCCAAAGAGGCTGACAAGGAGAATTTGTTTAAAAATCAAGAGTTGCTTTAGTTGGTGATCATCTCCTTTATTCTCATGACCTCCATGTTAGATTCAGAGGTTTGATGTTAGTCACTCTAAGGAGTTAATGGGTTAATTGAGACCTTGTGGGGTCATTATGTCGTTTTGGGTTATATACTTTACTCTCACAGTGCCTGTGTCATTCACCAAGGAGTATAAATGCGCACGTGCACGGATACTGTCAGGGGGAAACCTGATGAATGTTGGGGGAGAGGGGAAGGGGAAGGGGAAGGGGAACAACCTCTGATTAACTACATATAGCATCTCATCAGCATCTCTGTTTCAGGTTGCTAAAGAACACAGCATGGACTGTGCATGGGATTTGGAACAATTTGGTTATGAAGAACTTAAAGTTTCATCCAAACTGGAACTTTTCAAGGTTTGTGTCCTTATAGGAATCGATTTCTTTAACCTTCTAACTCTCTTGAGTGACCAAGATAGAATTTCTCTTTACAATGTCAATCCAATATCAAGCAGACAAGTGATGAGAATAAAAGAAAAAGATCAATTAGGAAAATATTAGTTGATCAAACACCAAATTCCCTGAACTAATATCATAAAAATTGTATGGTAGACAGTGAGGAGAATTACTAAGAAGATCCTGGATTGAAAGGGTTAAATTTTAATGTTTTCTTCTCAATTTGGTTTGTTTAGCTTGTCTTGAAGATTTAACTTAATATATCTTTAATCTGTTATCTTCTAGTTACTTCTGGAGTGTCAGTTTGATCAGAATGACAAGCTCAAGAGCTCTGTAAACAAAACATTTGAAGCTGATGAATTGCGAATGCAGCCAATTGGACGGGATCTAGATGGGTTTATATATTGGTATCATGAGGTACTTAGTAAATTTGTTTTTACTTGAAAAATTTATGACCAGTAGCCCTTAAACTCCCAAAAGTGATTAACATGAATCTTCTCCCTAAAGTAGCTGTACATTATTCAGCAAACAGGTTATGAGAATATTCAAATGTATCAGGTAGAATCTGCTATCAAAATCACTATCAAAATCAAACACTGAGTTCTCATAACAAATTTACAAGGAAATGTCTAGCAGCTAGAGGGGAGAATTAACAATCAGATCACAGGAGTTAAAGGGTGAAGGTGAAAGTAATTCATAGCTGGTTAAGTCTGTACTTTTCCTTTCTTTCTGGTGAATTATTATAATTCCCAGACAAAATAAAGTGTATGAATTAACCCAGTTTGAAATTATTTTGGCCTGATATAAACCTTTTGGCCTTAGGAGTGACCAGCATCTGATTTCTCCTTACAATATCACCCCCGAATGACATATTAAGGACACAAGAATAAAGGAAATGATCACACCAAAGAAACTTTTGATTGTGAAATAAATTCTCCCGGTCAGCACCTTAGGAAATGTATGGTGAAAGTATTGAGAATATGCATCCTGATGTTAGGGTTTAAAGGGCTAGATACAACTACATACACATGCTTTTTGGTCGGTCCCTCTTTGATGCACTAACTTGAGATGCAAGTTTCACTTAAAAATGATTCTTACCGGTAATTAGAAACAAATGGAAAAATAAAAGATAACTTAAATAGCATAAAACAGTGATTGCATAATAAGCACTAGTATTTTCCTCATAATTTTGTGAAGGCAAGGCCAAATTTAACTTGACCTACTTGTACAAGGAATCTTTTCATTTACATGTGGTCTGTGGAAAACTGACCTTTCACTTTTGAGTATTTTGCAATTCAAGCAAATTTCTTGAACCGTGTCAGAAGAAAAACCCTGCTGTTATGTGGCTTTTGGTGATTTTTTTATAATGATTTGTGAGATAACATTGACATTTTGGCAGATATGCAAACATGTATGCAGTGATGAAAAATGTATTTTAACTTCACAGACTTGATATCACAATGTTGATGATCAAGAATGAATCATAATCTTCTCTCTGAGCATACATGTGACAAACCTTACCCAACTGCACCATTTAGATTTTTAATAACATTTGGATCACAATGTCAGTTCTTTGTATTATCTTCTACTCATTTCTCATAAGTTTGGTTCTGAGAATTTCTGTTTCCATCCTGAACTCAATATCTTCCGTCATCTTTTTACCATTCTGCTGGATGACATGTTGATATCATTAAAAAAGAAAAGTACTTACAGGTCAAATCCTGGCTATAAAAGTGTTATGATGCATGATGTAAACTTTGTTTTGTGTTGTCCTTTAAAAAACAAGTTTAAGGTGGATTTAAAAGGTCATAGACATTGGTGCTAGTAATACATTGCAATCCATTTTGTAGGAATAATGATTGATGTTAATGCAATATTATGCTGGTTAACTGTCCTGAATGGTGACCAAAACTTAATTTGCTATTTTAGAAATGCATTTTTTAAATTGTAGGATGGTGCCAATGGTGTGAGGCTGTACACTACAGAAGAAGATGAAGTGAGCTGTGAATCATGGAGATTGTTAGCCAGGTAGACGACTGAATCCGATTTTTCTTCACCCGATGCTTATAACAAAAATCCCTTTTTATTGTGTTCCAGCTCCAAAATTACCTTCCTTCTTCATCTCTTTAAAAATATGGAGCTGACCACATTTTGTCCTACTTTGTTTTTCAATTTTTTTGCCAAACTACAACAAAAAATTTTACATGGAAGCAGGATCAGCTTAGTTAAATGCACCAATTTGTATGGCAAGAAAAATTAAATGGGACCATGATATAAGAGCAAAAGTTTGTACAAATTTGTAACAATGAGCAAGGCAGGTAGGTGTGAACATTGTTGATTAGGAATTTTTCAAGTTTATTTTTGAAGGATGCTAGAGTTGCAGTGTTTGAATTGCTCTACCATGGGCACCTTGCTTTCTCCAGCAGTACACGAGATGCTTCTCACTGTGAAACCATCTATTGGTTGAGCAAGGGTGTATTCAAGAATCTTTCAGGGGAGGGGGGGAGGGGGGTCCAAACTTTGATGGAAAGAGCAAAGAATTTTTTTTTACAATTTTTACATGACAAGTAACAGGCACTCATGTTTTTGCAAGAATTTTGATGTGAGATGAGTGATAAATTAAGCCACAGGTTTGAAACAAAAGGTGTGCACTTCCTGGAACCTCCCTCTGGCTCTACCACTGTTGAATATCCAACTGGAACATTGTGACAAACTTGAAACATGCTTTGTTGATTATGACAAGTATTCAATTGTTTTGCAGAGAGACAGATGAACTAGCTTCTGTTGTGGAATATTTGGAAACCAAGTCTGTTGTGAATCCCAAAGAAATAGCCCTTGCAAAAAGAGAAGAGATGAAAAAGAAAGGAGAAATAAAGAGTCCTGGGAAAAAGAGAGGAAGAAAAAGTAAGTTGTGTTGGAAGGTTTTTTTTTTTTCATTGCCTTAGCAAATCTTTGATAAAATTATGAATGTTTCATGGAGATCTGTGTTTTTGAGAAAGGTCTACTGTTGCTTAACTTGTCTTGGAATGTTGGTTTTGCAAATTGGACACTGGGAAAGATTTTAAGAGTTTCAGTTCCAGGTCAGATATGATAAGCCATCATGTAACCCCCTGTCTGTGCCGCATAATTTAATGACAAAAAAATAGACAGGGAAATATTGACAATAATTTTCTACCTTCTTTGCAAGATTTTCTTATTACCCCCTTGAGATACACTTTTTCCAAGGTTCAATCTGCATTTTAATAACATTTTCAAGTAAAATTTACTTATTACCTCATGATATCAATATATAAACTCATGTATGATATTCAGTTCACCTTAAGATCATTTTTGCATAAACATTTTCCACTCAAGAAGCATATTCCATTCCAAGATCTTTGTATTTTCCACTCAAAATATACATTACGGGTAGAGTTTAGTAGAAATGTTTGAAAAGAAATTGAAAATAAAAACACGTGTAGCTAACCTCGCAAAAATATTTTATAAGTTACTTCTCTACAACACGATTCCCTCTCTTTTTGCTGTCATCTGTAGGCAAAAAGAAAGAATCAATACAAGAGGAGGACTATGATGATGACAATCCATGTGCAAGATGTTTTTCTAATGTCAGACCAGATTCGGTGAGTTCATTTAAATTTTACTGTGCTGTAAAAATTGACACACTGAGGCTAAACCCTTAACCCTTCAATGCCCTAAGAGTGACTAACATCTAATTTCTAAACTTTCAACACGTTTGAGCACAGCTCATAAAAAGTAAACATTTCAACTTTCATCGCCCACCTGACGAGCAGAGTTTGGCAACCGAAAACAGCTTTAAGTTATAGCGGATTGCCTTCTGCTGCACAGCGCTCGTGGTAACTTATAGATATGATAAAGATCAGAAGGAAAGATACATTTTACCTCGTCCAGGATATACAGCTTGAAAACCATGACTATATTGTCGTTACCTCGACCAGAGGCTTGTTACTAATTTTTGTTTTATTTTGTCACAGATTTTACTTTGCGATAAGTGCGATGCTGCGTACCACACCGCTTGCCTTCGTCCTCCTCTGCTGACCGTGCCCCAGGGAGACTGGTTCTGCCCTTTCTGTCAACAGGTAGAGTAAATTTGAAGAGTCCGTTTTCCCTTAAACCATTATAGATTCTCTTTAGAGTGTTAAATTTTATCTGGGGAAACGCCCACGTGAGAGCAATTTTCAGTGCAGAGTCCAAAGTAATCAAATGCATTGGTCTTGCCTTCCAATACTTTACGATAGCTCCAAAGTCCAAAGTAATCAAATGCATTGGTCTTGCCTTGCAATACTTTACGATAGCTCCAGAGTCCAAAGTAATCAAATGCATTGGTCTTGCTTTGCAATACTTTACAATAGCTCCGGCAATTTCGCGCCAGTTTTTGCAACCAATAAGAATGTAAAGAGCGAGCTAATCACGATTTGGAGACTCGTGTTTTCCCGCGCTTGAAGTGACTCGTGTTTACTTCAAATTTTCATTGGCTTGTGGTGTTATTTTCTTAGCTCTCATTTGCCGATATGGTTACGCTTGGTTTGTCGCTGTAAAATTAAATGCGAGCGCTTAATTTTTTAATTTCATCTTATCCTTATACAGAAGGGAACGTTTTCTTTTTCACTCAATCTGGCAGTATCTACCTTCCTTTCTTCGTCCAAGTTCTATTTTGATAGTCTCAGGCCCACACACGTTACCAATCGCTACCTTAGCAGAACCTTTTTCAAGGTAGAGGATGCCAACAGTCTACTTCTGCAAGGATCGTCTCCTTGTTTTTTTCGGGGAGGGGGAGGGGGACTTCCCTCTAGATAGAGAACTTACTCCTTTAGTCGCGTCATACCAAACGCAAATATGTGCGTGCGCCATTAAGCGTAGTAATAAATTATGCTCCAGAAGAAGAAAAAGAAATTTTTAGATCAAAAAGGAAATCACTCTAAATTTTTTGGAAATCCATGTAATAAAAGCGACTTGTATATCAATCGCTTTCATAAACTTGGGATGTCCTTGGGATGTCCTTGGGATGTCCCTGGGATGTCCTTGGGATGTCCTTGGGATGTCCCTGGGATGTCCTTGGGATGTCCTTGGGATGTCCTTGGGATGTCCTTGGGATGTCCTTGGGATGTCCTTCGAAGGTTTAAGAGAAGAGTTTAATTAGTGTAACTTTGCTTTTTTTCAGTTAGCATTGTTGGATATTCTAAAGGAGAAGAAGACAAGGTTAGCTGCCAGGCTAAAGTTGAGACAGAGACAAGCAAAAAGGTGACATTCTTGCGTTTCTTTCACTTTTCACATATGCTTCTACCTTATAGTGTGCGTGACTTTTAACGAATGAACGTGCAAAACGAACAAATGGAATAGCGAATGTAAGAATGATCTAGCGAGCTAACGAAGAACGAACGAGTAAATTAACCTACGAACCCATAGAATGAAGGGTTCAGCGAACGAAGACCGAACGAACGAGCCGAGGAACGAGCAAAATGAATCAACGAATCATCGAACGAACGATCGAGCGAACGAAGATTGAAAGAACATATGAAACAACGAAGCTGCGAACGAACAATCGAGCGGGCGTACGAAGACCGAACGAACGACCCGACGAACGTACGAATGAACTAACGAACATTCGTACGAATGATGAAGCGACCGAACAAGGAAACGATTAATGAGCGAACGGAATGAATGTATCAAGGGAGCAAAGTGTCATTAACTTCTCCTAACTCTGAACAAGAGCTTCACAAGAGCCACATCGGTGGATGACGACCGCTATCCCCGTTGCGTCATCCGTGTTCGTCTGCTCGTCAATTTCTGGTCACAATCACAAAAAATGATTCTCGCTTCGATAGTTTATTAGGAAAAAGGAGATTTTTGCATCGTAGTTGCATTGCCATCTGGTGTAACATGAGACAGACCTTCTTGGAGGAGTAACAGTCGAGTTTCGTTCATCATCTAAATGATTGGAATCGTGTGCAAAAGTGCGATGAAAATTTGACAATTTTTGCCTTGATATGGTATGCGTTACATTAGGAAAGCTATATCTTAAGAACACCGTAAAAGAATTAGTTCAATAGAGGCATTGACTCTGGATTTTACCGTTGATTTGTGCCTTGTTGTCTGCAGCTAGCGAGGGTCTCTTTCAGTTTGGTATTAAGACGAGAATTCGTTTTTGTTCTGCAGGCCAAATTTCTTCTAATGCTCAGGATTTCATAATTGTAATCCAAACCTGCAGTTTTCCTTCCAAAGTCACCTGAAGAGTAAAGTCTATTGTCCGTTTATTGTTGATGAAGGTGTGAATACTATGTCATTTTGAGAGTTACCCCTTTACACCCCAACATCAATATGCACTTTCTCCATACTGTGCTCTAATCATTTCCTAAAGTTCTGACAAGGTGAATTTGTTTAACGATCAAGAGCTTCTTTAGTTGATGATCACTTCCTCAATTCTCATGACTTTTGACTTTTGACTTTTGACTTTGATTCAGTACTGACACTGTAAGGAGAAATCATATACCAGTCACTCCTAGGAGTTAAAGGGTTAAAAACCATTTTGCTTGAATCATACGCATTGCTATGCCTACACCAAACTTCGTAATGTGGATAAGACAAAAAAAACAATTGCCCTTTTTAAGTGTTTTGCTTGTTTGCCAAAATTTCTTGTACTCTCTATAACACCAGCTATCTTTGCATAACGGATCACAAACTTTTCTAAATTACAAACATTTAAGGAGGAAAGTACTCAAGAGCTTTTTTATTTGGTGATCATTTCGTTTATTCTCCTAACGTTAATGTTTGATTCAGGGATGATATTGTAATAAGAAATTAGGAACCATTTTATTAGAAGTCTAAGGGTTAATATAATTTCGGTTACAAAAGAAGATATAAAATTGGATTAATTCTGAATTGAAATCAATTCTTTGTGGCATAAATGTGAGTAGAATCCCTAAAGTATGTAGAAACTTAAACCTGCACAACATCGATTCAAAGAGGAGGAGCAGTTGATTAGATTATTAATCTTAAAAAAATCTTCAATTTTTTTTTTCTCTTCAAAGAAGAAAAATTTGATATCTGAATTCGGAAAATAAAATCGGCCAAAAATAATTGGCACTTCTTTAAGGAGTGGTTAAAAGTATGTTTAATACTGTAGATATATATATCAGATGAATTTAAAAAGGGAAATGTAATTGTCTAAGAATTGTACTATTTTGTATGTTTCCTTTTGGGAGATTTTTATGAAGCGTAATTAAATTATTTTGAAATGAATAAATTTAGAGATATTAACTTTGAATCAGTCGTCGTTATTTCGTTTTGTTTCTATTATCCCTGTGCGATTTTCTGCCTAGCTGCAGATTATATAATAATCATATCAAAATCCAAAGTTTCAGAATAAATTATCAGTTCCACCTGCAAGTTATTGCTTGTTAAAAATAAATTATCAGTTCCACCTACTATCGCGACCAATTTTTTTCCTTCAGTATATAATAAAATAATTATTTGATTCGGTTTTTGTGATAGCCAGTATAATCAAGGTCTCAGTAAGGGTACCTCCACCTTTATTTTTCCGGATATCAAAGAAACCTTTTCCGATAATTGTTTAATTTGAGGCTGAACTCAGCCGATAGCGCTTAGAGATCGATGGCGAATAATCTGCCTATTTTAGTATCAATCTAGTTGTGGTTCAAAACTTAACAACCAGACAAGCCCAAGATTTTATTAATTTTGTTACCATTCGCACGCTATCCATCACGGATTAGGCTGCGAGTGACGTTACTAATTAGATAACGACATGTAGTACGATGTTTACACTTTCCAAATTATCGATTTCGGTTTAAGTGTTCTATTTAAGTCGTGTCTCCAGTCGTCGGCACAGATGTCCACGAAGGAGAACAACTGTTTCATTAAACTGGAGTTGCTCTGAGCCGTTTGAGTGGCACATGTTCCACTATTGATTCAGTGGTCATGCGTGGCAGGTCAAAGGCTGCATGCTTATGATCAAGAAACAAGAGGCGTGCAGCACATTCTTAATACGTAGTTGTCTGCCATCATTGTGGTGGTTGTTGTCGGGAAAAATTGAAAATATTTCCCTTTATTGTGGGAAAATAATGATTTTTAGTTAACCAAATGTGCTACATCTCGTTTCATTATCACGTTTCGTTATAAACAAGGGCGATAGGAGCGCATTTGGTTTCTATCTAGTACGCATGCGCAGTTTTGCACATGGTAAACAGTTATTTTTATGTGTTTTTTAGGTTGGGTTTTGCTGGTATTGATCTGAACAACATCTTACAGGTATTTAATAGATTTTTCCTTCACTTACTAAATTATCTTTTTGTTTACATGTTTATTTACCTACTTGTTAATTTTGTTTGTTTATATTTTGTCGTTGTCGTTGTTGTTGTTATTGCTTATTTTTTTGAAGAGATTTGTTGAAAGTTAGTCCAACAAAATTCTGAGTGGCTTTACTGTCATGTTAATACAATTTATGATGTGGGTACAGTTAATTATTCTGTGATGTGTTGCCTAAAACGGCTTCACCCTTCGCCTTTACCGTATTATTTAACCCTTTAACTCCTAAGATCTCATTAGCAATTCTCCTTACTGTCTGCCAAACGATTCTCATTATGTTAGTTTGGAGAATCTGATATCTGATCAATTAATATTCCCACAATTGATATTTTTCTTTACTCTCATCACTTGTCTGCATGATATGGTATAGATATAGTAAGGAGAAATTCTGTCTTGATCACTCACGGAAGTTCAAGAATTAAGCCCACAAAGAAAAAAAGAAACATTTAGGATACTTTTTTGTGTCCTAAAAGATTTTACGTTGGCTTTTTACTTACACCTGCCGTTTTGTGTCGTCTTTTAATTTTAGATTTTTTTTTTTGCAACATTTCACACTCCTCAGTTGTGCTTTTATTCAATGTTATTACCCCTACACGCGATTCTGTTACACTTATGAATCATCCATTTTTTTTAATCTAATCATCGATGTATTATTGGCTTACTTACTCCGTGCGTTGTATGGTCGACTATGTGGGATGTACTCTGTTACACAGCCTGCTAAAATATAAAACTGTGTTTGTCGCCAATTTTTCGTTTTTAGTACCAGTCACTATTTACTCGTTAAGGGGGGGAAACATGAATTTAAATCGTCGCAGAGTCTGCTGCTAGTAAGGGGGGGAATTATAGGACTTTTCAAAGCCTTATGAGGGTCAGGTAAATTTTATCGTCAAAATACTCCTACCGGCCTCCTCTTCTCCCCACTGGGAGGATAAATAATGACCAGACCTTGAAGGGGAAATAAATGGAAAAATCCTTTGAAAGTAAAAATCCTTTAACTTTAAATTTGTATTCAAACACACTTTTTAAATTTACTATTTAGAACTGCTTTTCACGTGCGTTGGTCACTTGAAGTTGTTCTTCGTTTCTCACGGTACGAACTTCGTACTGGGTTAGTAGGAGGTATATATTTACATTTTTATTTTTATTTTACACTATCATAGAGAACATCAGACGACGAAGAAGAGCTAGGAATCAGACGGTCTGGTCGCTCGAGAAAAAACGTCGACTACACTTTTAAAGAATTCGAGGACGATATCACATCGGCCGTCGAGAACGACAAAAAGAGATTCAAAGGAGAGGAAGTTAATGGAGAGGAAAAACATTTGCTGTTCTCCAAACCGGCTTACGAGTCCGGAAACCTGGAGCGGTTACATCAGCGGAACACCCGAAGATCTCGTCGACTGATGGATCTTGATTACGAAAGCGGCTCGGAGTCTCCGACGAGCGGATACGAGTTCGAAGGTAACTCGGATGAGGATGTTCGGGGGAAATCCGAGGCGCTTACTCGGCTTCGAAGGACTCGAAGGATTATTGATGAAGACGATGATGATAATGATAGCAAAGACGGAGAGGATTCGACGAGAACCGAAGGTAAGAAAGGAAATAAACGTGACAATGAGGATAGTTCAAAGGAGAAAGCTGTAACTTCAGAATCGAAAGGAAATCAAAAGGACGACAGGAAGTCGGACAATGAGCGACTAAAGACGAGTGTAAACGGAGGGGAGGCCGTAAAAACAAACGTTGCGAGCTCAGGGAGCGAAGCAGAAGTTGGGGCTGTTAATATTCCACCTGCTCACGCGCTCCATGGCAACAAGATCCATCCACACTCGAGGATTGCATCTGTGGCGCCAGTTGCTCGTACCCAGCCTTTGGCTGACATCAGCAAACACAGGAATCCCTCCAGCTACCCTCCTGAAGGAATATTTCCTAACCCACCAAACTTTGAAATGTTTAAGCCACAGTTCCCTACAAAACAGGCCCCAAATTATGTTGGCCCCAATTTCGGAAACGTCAATTTAGGAACGTCAACCCTCACTGGAAATAACTTTGCAGGAAACGGCTCGGGAACTAGAAATATTTCTCCCAGTAATGTACCAGGGATGTCTCCGGGCGGGCCCTCTTTTCCAGGGGCCCAGGGAGTTGGAGCTCCAAATATAAGGACAAATTTGGGTGGACCTAATATGTCGGGTCCCAATCCAACGGCACCTGGTTATTCAAGTTCAAACGTGAACTACCCTGGAACAAATTTAAGAGGGCAGAATATGTGTGGGACAAATTTCGGAGAGACTTACGCAGGTGGACTCAACAACGTAGGTACTGCTGTAGGTGCCAACTTCGGAGGGCCAAATTTTGGTGGAAGTAACACAACAGCAAATGGCGTCGGAGGAGGTTTTGGTGCCCTGAAAAGTCCAACGCAGAATATCGCGGGCTCGTTTTGGACAGGCCAGAACAACTTTAATAACATGTACAACTATTCTACACCTGGAGGGACGCCATCTCCCGTCAGTAGTCCCCCAGGTAACCAGACTTTACCGCCACCCTACCCCGCTGCGGCCAGGTTTACGAATTCAAGTCAGTACGCTAACTATAATCAACAATTTCAAGGGAATTCTAACTTGCAGAACAATTATGTTGTACCACAACAGAGTGGAAATTTCTCGGATTCTAAGTTTTTTCCTGCTACCCCTCAACAGCCACCTCCCCCTTATCCCTCGGGTAATTCGCTCAATGCAAACTTCTACGGGAACAGAACACAGGAAGGTAACGTTACGGGAAACCAGTGGACGTATCCCGAGGGTTACGGGTATTATCCCGGTCAAGGCAATGCAGCGGGACAGAGTTTTTAAGATCATACCAACACCATCTGTTTAGAGAGGTCGCGTGCAATTGAAGTGGGGTTTCACAATTTGATAACATGCCCTTGTGAGAAATGCGGAAATTTTCTAGCATCCATTCATAATGCAGCACGAAGGGCCTAAACCAAGGAATAACCAATCTATTCATTCAATCCCCTTTGAATTAAAACATTTTATACTGGTCCAGTTAAAAAGTCGCTATTCAAGCAACCACATAGGCAGGTTTACCGGTGTGAATGGACAACTATAGTTCTTAGCATGTAATTGTTTTGTTCACATTAAGAAAACTAGAAACAGGTTTGAAGAGGGACAATTCACCGAAGGTAAAATGATGGCGGCGTTAATTTTCCTTCAATGCCCTTCGAGGAATTTTTTGGCCATTTGAAGATTGCCTGTTAGCTCATTGAGACTACCGTTTTGTTACGAACTTTTCCCTCGGACCGTGCCATATTTAACCTTCGATATGCTAGGTGTGAAGTCTTAGGCACTTTTCTGTGCAATTATTTCGGGGAATGTTGGGGTTTTTGTGCGCAAAAAAGGGTTATTGATAAGCTTTTTACTCTGCCTGTTTCTTCGGTTCGGTGGTCGCTTTTTTAAAGGCAGGAATTTGAAAGTTTTGGGAATTCCAGGGGGTTGTTGATCAGAATGATAAGAAACGTAAATACATACGCATCAGAAAAGTTTCAGTTTATTTGTTGAAACGTTACAAGTTAACGTTATTTTTCTTATTTAAGGGGGCTGGGCTATTTTGATGAATTTGTCACGCAAGGTTATACAAAGTGACAGTTATGGTTAGCAAAGATAATTTTGTCACGCAGGGCTGTGCAAGCCTGAGCGATAAATGAAACTGATATAGCTGGCCATAGTGTAGGCAAAGTGATCTTTTTAAAGTGTTTTTACATGCCAAAATATGTATCATATCTCCCATTTTTATCCATTTAAAACAATCGGAAAACCATTATATTCTAAAAACAGCTTTCCCTTAAGCATGGGTTTTGTTGGAAATGGCTTCACCAAGCGCCTTCGATTATTAATTGTCTGAAAATATATTATTTTTGCTTAAGATTCCATTTTGCTTAACAGCTGAGGAAAAGAAATTAGCTCAGTGAACATTAGGCCACGTTAACACAGTAGTTCTATCAAAAGCCTCTGCGGCCATTGTTTAAACACGTCACGCAATGCCTTCTCAGCGAGAAATCGCTTTGCGTGACAAACCAAACATCGGTTGCGAAGCATGCAGGACCATGATATCAATAAATGCAGTCAAAATGATCAAAATATATAAAAATGTTTAAAAATATATCTTCAGTTAGCCAATGAGAGCCATCGTAAGCGCTCGTTATATATTAATCACTTATTAATATCATAATTTATCATTTATTAGTATCATTTTATAGCTGAGTTAGATCGATGTGTCTAAGCAACTTCGCACCTATTCCTCCCTTAACCTAATATCAACCCTTACTTGTCATCAGTCGACTACTGTTTTTAGGAGGGGTAGGTGTGCAGTTTTTCAGATACTGACATTAATCCGCTGGTTTTATTGTCACGTCACGATTTGTCTCTCTCCGAAAAACTAAACTAACTTAAGGTTAGCTTTTACGTTTTAAGTTCATCTGAAATCCATTTTAATCTTTTTAATCATTGGTTATCCTTGCTCCGTTATCCTCGTTCATCATTGCTTACTTTGTGTTTTTCTATCTCATTGTACAGTTATGTGGTCTCTTTTTCAAGGTGATGATGGTTTTGCAAAACTAATAATCCTTACTTAACATCCTCTTCAAATCTTCCTACAATCTCTTCACAATTCATCCTCGGCCATACTCGATCTTACTTTTGTACTCTACGAACTCTATCTGTGACTTTTCCTAGATTAATCTGTATGTTTCCCTGTCTCTCGCGTCAATATATCAATTCTCATTACTCCAGTCCTTTTTATGACATTCAGAGAATTTTAAGACATCATCCCATTGGTTTGATATTTCCTTATCAGTTACCATTATACATTGAAATAAATTTTGATGATATTTTCAGTCCGTACCTAATTTTTTTTAAAAATTTACTTCATGAAAACACTAATTTACTCTTTCATTTAAACCTTCGTTATAAATGTAAATAATGGCATGTTGGTAACCTGTAAATGTCACCTCCAAATGTTTTATAAATAAAAAAAAAATGCCACCGATGAAAATCGCGTTCAGATGTGTATTTGTTCATTTAATGATGTGGAGGGGGGGGGGAAGAAGAGTTACAATCTTGACAGAATCTGAGGGGGTGAGGAACAGGGGGAATTTGTTTCGTAGCGAGGTTTCACTACTTCATATCCTATTTTTCGAATGATGGTGGGGGGAAGGGGGAGAGAGAGAGGCGGTCTTGTACTAGTAATGATCCTTTCAGGTAATTTAAAAGTCATAGTTAAATCTATGCACGAAGGCTCGTATGCTCTCAAAGGCTTTTGAATTTCGACACATTTTCTTGGAAATGAAGTCTCGAATTCACAACTGTGGTTTTCTTCACAGACGTAACCTAAATGAAATTTGGCAATAATTTTAAAAGGAAATTGAGTTAGTTCCAAACAACATTCATCTCAAATCTCTTAAAATCGATTGATACTTTTTTAATTACTTTCTCGCTAGTACAAACAGATCTATAAACACTAGAAACACCGCCAAGCTCACAAAATTCCCTTCTACCTATGCCGCACAAATTTCAGAGCTTCATTTACTTACAAGAATAAACCTTAAAACAATACCATTGAATACTAAAATTGAACCTCACACACTAGGACCGTAGGAAACTTCTTTGGAGAGGTCACGGCTCTGTGGCCCTCAACACATTAAGGAAGGTGACATCTTTAAGGGGACACGTTCCGCGGTCACCACAGTGTACCTTAATGGGCCCTTCGAATTCCTTAATAACTCACCTATTCTGTTACCGATGAAAACGTTATTTTAACAGGGACAACCGTTGGAGCACGTCCTTCTTCGTTTAACAACTGCCTACTAGTTATGTACTAGGAATTGGGCCCATTTACCATTTCGAGCAAAATGATGCCCCAAGGCCCCTCTCAGGGAAGCGCTTCGGACAGCTTCGACCGGATCTAAGAGAACTCTCTATTTGTCGGACTCTTCTTTGTAAACGTAGTTTACTCAATAAAAGTCATCGTCATCATCATCATCATCCACGTCATCATCTATTCCAGTGACCATTGTCCAGGGTTTATTTTTATTGTTGTTTCCCGTACCAAGATCATCGTCGTTTTCAAGTCCTTTCAGCGCCATGATATCTCCTTCGGCCAGATCTTCGTCTTCGTCAAAGTCATCTTCGTATAAGCTGCAAAAAAAAATAAAAGGCAACTATTTGAGAAAAGAAAAAAAGATGTTGCTGCTGGGATGAATTTTCCAATACAAAAATTTTCTTGTCGTTTCCTTCAAAATCAATTTCCCCAACTTTTCCCTAGCATTGATGCGGTTTTAAGAGTTGGTTGGTTTTTGTTATTGTTTCATGGCTGTTTTTTTGACTGATGGCAATCATGACTAAAACCAGACTAAGGTTATCATGCAACCGCGCCAAAAACTCACAAGAATCTACCGCGTAAGTCATGTGGTCTTACCCTTCTGTCTGTTCATTGGCTCCTTCTTCAGCTACCAGTAAGTCATATTCTTCTTGAGCATATCTCTCCCAGTCTGACCTTTCGTTAACATCGCCATCTTGCAAGTCCTACAAATTAAGTGTCATGTTAGTACTGAATAATTAATTAATTTTTTGATCGAATTAATGAACAAATGACTTACTTTAAAGCGTCCACGCTCTAATAAGTACCCACGCTCTTAGGAGCGTCCACGCTCTAGTGAGTACCCTCGCTCTTACAAGCACTTACGCTCTTCTAATCATCCACACTCTAATAAGCACGCACGCTCTTATTAGCACCCGCGCTCTAATAAGCACTCACGCTCTAATGTGCGCCTAATCTCTACTGAGTTTCCACGCTCTAATAAGCGCCCACGCTCTTATAAGTACTCACGCTCTAACAAGCACCCACACACTAATGAGCGTCCACGCTCTAATAAGCGCCCACGCTCTGATGAGCATCCACGCTCTAATAAGCGCTCACGCTCTAATGGGCGCCTACGCTCTGAAACGCGCCTTCTTCCGAGCAAGCGCCCACCCGAAAGGGGATAATTTCAAACAAATGCCTTTCCCTCTCCCCCTCCTATCCCCCCTCGAATAAGCACCCCTTCTTCCCTCATTTTCTTGAATAGTAGAGAAACACGCACAACCTGTTTCTATTGCTACTATTTATAACCTTTTAAGCTTTAACTACAAAGGAATCAATACAGGAGAATAACAAGCGCCCACCTCGACTAGGCGTATTCCTTTTAATAAGCACCCCCTACCCCCTTTTCCGTTTAGCCTTTTTTATAAAAGCGCCAGGGCGCTTATTCAAGGGAATACGGTGACTTTAACAATGATATGGGATCGATATTTCTCAATTGCATGACCCTAACAGTAATATAGACATGAGCTTCTTACCCTCGCTGCAGCAAAAGGATCTCTCTGTTCGTATTCCAGATATTTATCCAAGTTGAAGAATGTGTTGAAGAAAATGTAAGCCAGTTTACAATTCTTTAGGTCACTCAGCGTTATGCATCCTGTAGAAATATATGTTATGATCCAGTGATTTTTAAAAAATTTAAAAACAGCTCCAACAAAAAGTTTAAGTTGGTGGTTCCTTTAATACAGAATATTAGTAAGTGTAATTTTGGAACTGTTTTTAGTGTTTTAAGACAGCGATCGTACCTGGAGTTTTAGGCTTCACCATGTCCAACATCTGAGAAAGAAGATAAAGAAATAAAACATTACAGGCTGTAATTAAAAATAAATAAATAAACTTAATTGTAATAGTCATTGTCGCATTTCATCATCATCATCATCATCACTGTCACCTCTGCCACAGTCACATCCCCATAACAGCGAATGTCATAATCTCTATCTAGCATTCCCCAATCCAAGTTACATGTATTAACAGGTAATAAAGGAAGAATTTTCGCTCTAACGAAGGGCTAACGCTCGAAACGTCAGCTTTAAACTCTCTACGGTGAGAGGATGAGATTGGCCAATTGGCGTTATCAACTCGGTTGATAATACTTAATGACCCTGCTATACTTCCCCACAGAGGCAGCACCACTGACAGTTTCTTTAGAAACTTACCCCGTTTATTCAAGTTACATTTACTCTAACATTCCCCCAGTTCTGGAAAAACTGCACTAGGGACCTAGACTTACGTCAAGTTCTAAGCCTCGTTCATAAGACGAAGACTTCACAAATAAATTCAATCATATATATATTGCAAACAAGGAAAGCCCATTGCCATGTTGCGTTAATTTTTTATTACTTGTTCAGAATGGCTCATTCTTAGAGACCCAGGGGCTGCGAGTCGATTTTAAGCCGGGGAAAAAAGGAGGGGGGGGGGGGGGGGGGAGAGAGCAGGAGTCACAGCCGCTGGGTCTCTGAGGACGAGATTTGCTCAAAACTCACTCAGTAGCTGCAAATGGATTCTAAACCAAAGTTCTACATAGTTTATTTTTTATTAAAAGTCGACAAACCTGACATAGGCAGTCTTCAAACAGCATTGTCTCTATGCCCAGGACATCCATTTTGGAAATTTGTTCAGTATAAAAATACTCCAACTCATACATGGACAGTACACCATCTCCATCTAAATCCATACAGCGAAACCAGTACTCAATACTGTGGAGAGAAAAGGCATAAAATGACGAACACTCCAAAGCTCTTGATCAGCATATACCTGGCTTCTTTCCTTCCTAGCCTACCCTCCTCAAGAAGGAACTAACTGAAACCAAGCTTTAAAGGAAGCTAAAAACTTCCCTCCACATCATACGAACCTCCCGACCCCTCTGAGAAATGTTTTTACTTTCTTTTGCCACCAGTTTTCCTGTACCCTCTTGCAAATATGACTGGAAGGAGTTACTGAAAAATGTACGGCCAGCATAGCTTACTGTGGCTCACAAAGGCAAACTGAATTCTCAACTTTGTTTATGAATTCTCTACTCAGAGAAATGTTTTCACTTTCTTTTGCCACCAGTTTTCCTGTACCCTCTTGCAGACATGACTGGAAGGAGGTACTGGAAATGCAGGGCCAACATAGCTTACTGTGGCTCACAAAGGTACAGTGAATGCTCAACTTTGTTTAATGACAAGGCAAATTTTCAATAACCATCACAAAGCAAGGTGGTTCTACTTTGCAGCTTCCAACCATCTGTTTAATTACTGTAAACTGATAAAAAATAAAAGGCACATATATTCACCTTCTTGGATGTTTCTTGTCCTCTTCAGAAAGAAGAAACCAAACAAACTCTGGATAAGTCATCTTGCCCTCCATGTAAGTGGGACCTCTACATCAGCACAATACAAGGTGCCCAAAAAATAAAACTGCTGTCAGTACGATAGTTGTGTTAAGAATTAAGTATAAAGTCTAAGACTTCTTTTTTCAGTGGAACATCCTTCACCAAACACCATCAATTCAACTTTCCCTCAACATAAATTTTTAAATCATTTCCCTTCATTTATTTTTTTTCTTTTCAGCTTATTAAAACTATGCAGTATCTTGAATTTTTCTTCATTCACCTTGGTGCATGTTAACTACAGTTGAAAAATTGCAAGGTTGTTGTTGTGTGTCATTGCAGATGGGCAGAGGAAACTTGCCAGTTTTCAGACCATTTTGTGCCAGCTACTTTGTGAATTACATTGAAGACAGAAAATAAATATTTTGAACTGATTCTAACATCAATGTCTGGCTAAAAAAAAGGTTACTCATAAATCATGCTAGAAATCATGTCTCAGAGAGTTTCAAATTCAATTTTTTTTCGGGGAAGCATGCTGTTGCACTAAAAACTAAGTAGGCTATGTTTTTCAGTAGGACTTCCTTCACAAAGATAACAGTTAATTCAACTTTCACCATAAATAAATTCATGTCAGCATCAGTGTTCAAACTGTGCGGCATCTTGAATTGATTCCTTATATGTACATCCACTAAAGTCAACCTACAGTAATATTTTTATTACCCTAATTATTTTATCCCTACCGCGTGACACACCCAGAGAACAGTCTTTTCACTATTTTGGATGATAATGCTGATGGCAAAATAGAAAATGACAATAAATGAGATTAAAATAAATGATCAAATTTTCAATAACAGATAAAATCTTCCATGACAATGACTTGAATATGAGTTGTCTACAACTACCTCGTATCCAACGACAGAGAAATGTTTTTATCCATCACAAAATATCAGAAGAAAACATCTCAAGCTTTGCACATTATCACTGACATTATCTGTGACCCAAGACATACATCTGAGTTCAGATATCATGGCTTGTTAATCAATCAAACTAAAAAATTACCAAACAACATACTAGTTCATTCTAAAAATATGGTAACCATCTATTACTTCCTGTGACCCACATTGCACACTGTATCATACTGGTGTTTTACAATTATAGGGATTTTTTGGCGAGTCCTTTTTTTGGTGCATCAAAACTATGCAAACTAGTAAAAAAAAAACCCTAAATTTTCATGCTTTATATCATCTACTGCAGGTAACCCTTTTGGCAAATTAAAAAAAAAAAAAGTGGATTAGGTTCAGAGCCATCTCAAATCATCCAAATTTAAGGATGCTGCGAACCTCTTTCACAGACTTTTAAATTAATGAATCTTGACAAACTTGTGACAAATTTGTAGGAGAATCATCCCATTCAAGAGCGACAAGTAATAGTTATTCTACTTGTTGCTTTATGCCACAGCAAATGGAATAAGCTCTGGCTAAAGGGAGCACTTGTCCTGAAAGCTTACTTAATTTTATGAAATCAATATAGTTATGAGTCAATCAATTTAAAGCTTGAACACCCCCCCTCCCTCTGGCAATCCCCTGGGCATTTGAGCTTTTTAGGATTGGTTTGGTTAAATTTCTGCCCACCCCCCTCCCCCCTTATAGACATAAGTTGCCTTCAAATGCCTCATCCAATCAAAATTGTTTGTTGAATAATTCGTTGTGTGATTAATTACTGTTGTAGAAGTTAGCTAAGGTGTGTATAAATTTTGGTGCTGCTGTTTGGTTTTTCACTTGACATGTAAGCATCATTCTACAATGTCAATCATTTTCTTCCAAGCCATTTGCTCATGAAAGCCAACTTTTAACCTTTAAACTCCTCTATATCTCAAATTGGAACATGTGTTTTCTGCTAGTTCCCACCCCAGCCAGGTAAAAGTTCAAATTCCCCATCTCCCTGGCATGGATGATGGTCAAATGCCAGTGGGTTGCCCAAGGGAGAGGTATGTTTAAGCTTAGAATTGATCGTCACATTATAAGAGTATCTCATACCATGGTTGTTATGTCTCATTAGGTCTTTCTCATCAATCAGCAGGTCATGGTCAGAATCCAGCTCCCAGAATTTACAATAAATTACATAAAAATGTTCATAAGAAAAGTAGTCCAAGATCTGAAAGATAACAATGAACAAATAATTAAATCAGTGATCAGTATATTCCGAGATTCTACTTCCAAGGAGTTGTCAGTCATACTAGTTCCTACCTATCTACATAAATTAGGAGTATAAATATCTTACATGATTTTATTAGGAGTTCTTAACATATTCTCTGTAATAAACTTGTGGTTTTACTGGTAAGGAAAAAAATTTTTTTTTGATACATGGGTTGAATGGCTGAGAACATAGTTAAAAGTGTTTTTGTTTTTTTGTTTGTTTTTTCTTTTTTTTTTTTGTAGTCTTGTTTCTTCAAAACAAGTGCAAATGGTGAAAGAAGTACAGAATCACAAAAAGTCAACTACAAATGGGCTGCATGGTGAAACTTTGATCACTGTTAGTAACAAAAATATTCAGGTGATGTTTCCTTCCGAAATGAAAAATTCTGTATCCAGAATTACTAGACTGTTTTTCAACTATTTCTATACAAAGTAAAGTCTCATGTCCACTACTTTCCAAAATATTTTACAAAGTTTATGTACCTCATTAATGTCCTCTTCTTCTTCAAGTCGGGCTAAAACCTGGTGTAGGAAAAAATAGGCAATCAGATTTTCTCTGTTGTGTATCAAAGAAATGTTCATCTGTTTGTAACAAATGTCTTCTTCAACTTGACCATCTCAAACCCAAGACCTCATTACCAGTAGTAATTCTCCTTCCTGTCTGTCTCATAAATCTCATAATATTAGCTTGGAGGATTTGATATTGGATCAATCGATAATCCCCTGATTGGTATATTTCATTATTCTCCTCACTCGCCCGCTTGATATTGTATTGATGATGAAAGAAGAAATTCTGTCTTAGTCACCCACGTAAGTTAAAGGGTTAACACTGAAACTCATAGACATGCCAACCAAAACACAACATCTTGAGTGTAACTTACTTCTAAAAAATTGCTATTCCTCAGTTCTGGAACTGTAATGCGTCCTGTCCATGAACTATTTACACAATAAAATATTCTAGCGATAACCTGAAACGAACAAAAAAAATTAACAGTCAAATAAACATCATGCTTGTCCTCAGACTCATTGCTTCTGAGAAAATTCTAAACACAGAGGATTAGTAAATTGGTCACAACCAGCAGGTCACCAAAGCAACTGAAATTAACTGTTGGCAGCCAGTGACTACCTTCAAGTCTTGCCAAAGGTCTTCTCATAAACCAGCACTCACAAAATAAATTGTGCATTTTACACATAACTGGTCATTGTTTATGTGTAGGAATAATTAGACATTTTAAGCCAAAAGGCATCTTTAAAACTTGCTTTTTAATATTTTGCTATGTGATGAAAATTAAAAAGGAAAAACTTATTGGCTACTAAATTTTTCCACCTGGAAAATGAAATGAAATGATTCAGCAAAGGCCAGTTAGTACTGCCTAAAAACATAATTTAGGACCTGAGAAATGTGTTAGGAGTCAGAGGAAGACGAATTTCTGGAATTTTTTCACTCTTATTCAGCGCAGGTGAAAATCTCATAGAGCTGATCAACAAACAGTTAAATCACAATACTGTTAATGCTGGTTTATAGGCTGCACTTTCTTTCCAAGAATGTTCGTTACAAATCAGGAATACAACTTATCTGCCAGAAAATTTGGAAAACATGCAACAAATTTGCCAGAAAATTGCTATTCATCAAAAATATGTAAGCACCTACATCATACATACATACATCCTTTATTTAGTAAAGCAGGTTGAATAAATGGCAGCTGTTACTGATGTAGACCTGCTATCTACTTTACACTATACTTTTCAGGCCAGACCACATCACAGTAATCTCGTGAGTGGGTTCTTTAATGTCCCCTGCCAAACCAAATTATTAATAAATGCAGGAGAAGGGACCTACGGTTTATTCGTTCTTATCAGAGAAGACTAGAATGTCTATCTATTTCTTGATATTGTAGAAAAGTCCTTGGTTATATTTAGACCTTGAGTGTTGATCCAGCCAGGGCTCAAACCCTCAACTTCCTGCACAACAGTCTGGCCCTCTAACCAATTGAGCTAACTGGGAGGCAGTTTTGAGCTAGCCAGAAGCCTATGTAGTTACTAATAAAACTAACAACTGACCTTTACTCAAATGAACTAGGGTTAAAATTGATTTTTGCTTTTGCAAGTTTGGTGGCTTCTAAAAGAGCCTTTAATATATATATTTTTTTCCATAAACATATAGCAGGGCGTGAAATTAATTTTTTTTTCTGATAGCCACTTGGCTCCTAAATTCTTCAAAGTGGTAGCCAATTAAAAAAAAGTTGGTCGCCATTTTCAAAGACAAACAAAACCTTTTTTACGCTGTCAGCGCTCTAGAGAGACCCTCCAAATTAAGTTAGGGGAAAGATCTTTACCATGCTACAAAGTGGACACTAGGAGGGATGATATACAACTCTCAAGCTCACCTAAATTCAAGATGGCATCTAGTTATCGATCGAGATGCATGTGCTGCATTTTGGAAAAAAACTTAACGAGGAAGTTTGCCATGGATTTATCTTTGCAAATCTTTTTAATTCACGATATCTCTTGGTAAGGTTATGATGAAACATTCTAGTCGCCAATTTGGCAACTAATTTTCAGGATTTGGTCACCAAAGGGAAAAATTTAGTTGCATTGGCGCCTGTATTAGGCGCAATTTCACACCCTGTATAGGCTTATATTTCTAGCCAATCTAAACATACTTACAGTATGGATGTATCTAGAGTGAAAATCAGGAGCATCACGTAGAAACTCCAAACCAGGATGTGTTTCCACAATGTCCTAATGGTAAAATATAAAAAAATATCTACTGCTGATTCCTAAATAAACTCTTTTTTTTCTGGTTACTGAAATTTCACTTTGGGTCACAACTGTATGAATATTGACCACCAAATGGTGACCTTTGAAAATGCTGAGTGCACAAGACAAGTCAAAGAGAGCAACTAAATGGCAGGAACTTTTGCAGTGGATTGGTTGTGAAGGTTGTAAGCTTAGGTCTTTCAAGTTTCAAATTCACAGTATGTGGTTAAGTCACCTTCTTAGAAAGTCAACCACATAACAGGGTATAATTAAATTATACTTTAAAAAAACAATCTGTTTTCATTATATGTAATTCAATAATACACCTCTTATCTAGCTGGCCAAAACTCAATAAGGACCTTGTTTTTTTTCTGCTTGGATTTATGGCCCACAAGCAAAGCAAGGTTAATGAGATATTTGTCATATCTCTGGGTCCAAATAGAGAGGAAAGGCTTCATTCCACACAAATGTTTGAGTTAAGCAGGCTGTATGGTGAAATACAGCCTGCTAATTGACCAATCATAGTGCACATACTAACTGAGAGATACTATAACATGACTTGTATGGAACAGTTATGCTGATGTGCATATTACCTGCAGGAGGGGAATAAAGTCTTCTGAAACAAGGTAATTTTGAGAGTTTTTAGCACTCAGAAGTCGCACAAATCTTGATGCATCATCATGGCAATTAGATGTTAAACTGTGAAAAAAAAATGGAATGGTTAAATGTTCATTCAAGTATTCATTCCAAATAGCTTTCACCCATTACATGCCACAAGGCCTTCAGTCAGAACTGTAAGAAGCAATTCCCAGTTAAATATAGAATCATTCTTGGGAAGAAACATGACTATGTTTGACTACAAGGCTTTTAATAATAACATTCTTATCTAAATACAATGAATTTACAGTTTAAACAATAATTAGTAACTATTCACTGAATTGTAGGGGAATAGTGGTGGATATCTACCGAGCGAAGGGATGTGAAGGGACAAAGTAAATATTCCCCAAATTCACCAACACCGAGGTGAATAATTGTCATTAATTAGTATTATGCCTGTACAACACATATAACAAAAATAAGTATATTTTTTTTGATATATCAAAAAATGGTCAGAAATTAACTTCTTGATGTGCAATTTTGTCTCACCAGCTTCTCAGAGGTGAATAATACTGCGTCCAAAACTAACCAATCAGTACGCGCCAAAAGCACTTGACACTTGTGTAGTATATAACTAAAGAAATACCACTAAAACTAAGTATTTTTCATATGGTAAGTACCTTTTCCACATAGCATTAAACATGGGTAAAGTTACATAGCCATGTTTATGTCCTCCAGCTGCAAAAAACAGAGGTTCGCGCCAGTAAAGTGGTAAACCACAAGCCTGAAAGATATCAAATAACCATAACCAGAAAAGTTAATCTAAACCCTTCTACTCCTAAGACCTTCAATTAAGGTCACAAAAATAAAGGAAATGATCACCAACCAAAGAAGCTCTTGACTGTCAAACAAATTTTCCTTGATATACGAGTGATTATCGGCAAAAAAATTGGACAACCACAAAGTCAGTCACAAATATGCATACAGACAGAATTGGATGACACTAAGTCCTGTTACCAATTAATCATAACCATATTACAATTTTCGAAAAAAAAAAAAAAAAAAACTTGTAGAACAAATATCTCCAATAGAGACAATGTCTTCAGTTAAAAATTTCTCCACTTTGGAAATTCCCCACTTTTACTTAGGACAATTGGGTGTTGCTATGGTTATTGTGTAATTTTGTGATGGGTGGATTTAGCCAGGCAGGTTAAGTATGATTGGCTGCTTAAACTGTCTGATTACAGCCAACTGTGCAATCACAAATATGCAAAATAATTGCTGAAAAATAAAGCAGTTAGTGCACCAATCAAATTTGAGAAAATTGTGATGGCTCTGATTAAATTGAAACAGCATGCAAATTATTTGTACTTTCCCTGAGAGAAATATAAATTTTCTCGAGGCAAATATACTCATTTTGGATATTTTATTTCCTTTTAAAATGTTGACCATCTAACAGAATGGAGCTTATTGACTTTCATGTTGAAACATTTTATAAAATAAGTTTAATCACCACCTTTTGTTTTTCATCAGAACATGATCTGCACATTTGTAACTAAAAATTTTTCTGGATTTTTCAGTTTTTCCTTACTTTTTGAGATAAGTATCTTGGTACAAAAACCTTGCTCAAAAGCACTACTTTGAAGTTGAAAAATTTATTGGAAAATGATGAGGCGCTAAATTGCAAATCACTGACAGTTTTTCAAGTGAAACTTGTGCAGATCACCTTGAAATGAAAAACAAAATTTGTTAATTAAAAGCATCATCAAATAAACTTATCTTGTAAATTGCCTCAGTATAAAAGATTAAACTCCCATTCTGTTAAATGGTCAAAATTATAGCTTCTGAAGTATTTCAACCACAATGTCAAAAATCTGTGTTAATTAAGCTTTGAGAAATAAAACTTTCATGAGGATACTGCAAATAATTTGCATGCTATTTCACTTGTAATAAAAATGCTAATTTCTCTACGTGGTACCTCAAGTCCCTCACATCAGACCTTAACCCATATCATGATATAATTTAGTGATATGATATGATGGCCATTTGCCAAATTCTAGCAAACTGTAAAACCATCATTGCAACAAGGGTAAACACATAATCTCTAGTACTCAACGATAACGGCACAACATCTTACCTTAGCAAATAATCAAACATATTACGCAATTTTAAATAGATTGTAAACTACGAGTAGAAATATAAAAGGTAGAGGATTTATTTTTCTCTGTATTGAAACAAAAAACATGGGAAAATGAATTTAACTGTCAAAAAGCGTCATTGTTTCGATGTAAAATGAGACATATAAATCCCTCTCAGTCCTTTATCAAACTTTCAAACAAGCCCTCAGATCAAGCGTAAGAAAGTTTCAAAAATGATAAAATTACATGTTATTTTGCATCATTTCTATTCTTCACCTGTTTTAGGGTATCAATATTAAACAGAGTTGCGCTTAGAGCACACTGGAAAGTTCTGTAGTATGGAAATATGTCCCTTAACTTTCGGCTTTCGTTTCAACAGAAGCCTCAAGATATAACTTTTTATACGCGCTTTTTCTGACTTCCATCATAACTAATTCGCGTCTGTCAAAACATATTCAAGATGCAAGAACATGTGAACTCCAGCTTGCAAGAAAAGTTGTCTAAAATATAAACAATGACCTAAAAATAGATCGTTCGATAACTCGAACTTTGCTCGAATAAGCGAGATAACAACCTTTTCCTATCTGAATGAAACTACGCGAAGGTAAGTTTTCTAGTAACCTAGCGGTTCTTCAAAGTCATCGTTAGAAATAAAATGGTTTGAATTTAAGAAGAGTGTTCTTGTGTTCAGTTTTAAAAAAATTTATCTTGACCTTTCCCATAATGAAAGACTGAAGCTTGATCGGCACCACTGCGCGAGAACAACGAGAATGATATAACATGCTTCGAAACCGAACGTTGCGAAACAATACAAGACCACGCGAGTTTTTCGACTACTTCAAAACACGCTGGAACATTGAACTAGACAAACAGGCCTGACAACATGGTAAATACTAAAATAAACACTTTCAGCGAGCTGCCTTTATTTTTCAAGTATCTACTTCCTCAAAGTGACATATTGGTTGTTGGACGAGTTCAAGAGATTGTCTCACAGTTTGCCGATCAGGCTATTCGCGTAGACAATCAAACTTTCAAGACAGACTTAAATGATTGTTTGAATAATCTTAAACCATTTCCGTCATTCATTAAATTTGTTTTCTTTGGCAAACGTTAGGGAAAGTGTCTCTTTCACTGTAGATTTGAAAAATCTGAATGAACGTGACCCTGATGCATAAAAACAACAACGCCTGACTGCGTTCACGCATAAGTCTCCGAGAAGACGGCATTCATCGAAATCCAACTCTTCTTTGTATCTGGGAAGATTCTCAGATCATCAGTATGAAAGAAACACAACAGAAAGACCAGCCTAAGTACAAATCGTTGAATTTTTCATCGTGCGTGCGCAAGTATCGTGTCTTTTTTAGAGGTCAGACTGGCTTCTTCGTTTCAACTGTAAGCGCTGACGGACAACTTGTAAACAATAGTCACGCTACAAAAACTCGGTTTCGAGTTTCATCTTGAACTAAACTAAAGAAAGTAGAAATAAACACACAAGAAAGTTAAAATACCTTTGCCACTGGTCCAAACTCTTCTTTTGGAATACCGCTTTTGTACAGTTTGAATATCTGAGCGACCTTGGACAACGTTATTTCACATGATGTAGAATCTTCTGGCTTTCCAAGCGGGAAATGAAACTGCGGCAAGTGTGCAGCGCACCCTTGGAAGATTCTCACATTATTCAAAATTAAATGTTTATCCTTCATCGGATACTTCGTTCCTTCATTGTTCTCTAACCTAGGAGAACGCGGAGGCGATTTAGACCCTGGTCTTCGAAAAGATCGTTCTCGAGGGCTTCGCGGTGACCGCAATAATTGATTCGGAGAGCTGGTTGGCGGAGCCGGGGGCGAAATGGGCCTGGAAGCACCGCCTATTGCATTTGCCGAACCAGGACTTGACAATTGCCTTGGCGACAGAGGTCGGCCTTGGATTAACTTGTTCAAATCATTTCTAAGAACCCGTTGCGTTTCGGGCATAGACAGCCATCTTAGAAACAGTTCGTCGACTTTCACTTTCAGAATCGGGGAGAGATGCGCCATGTACTGGTGGCCAAAATTACTTCGATGAATGCAAACTGTCAACTCGACATTTATCAAAATAGATCACTTCCTTCCATCGTCGTATGAGTCCGCTGAGAAATTCGAAACAACGATTTTAAATACCTATTTCAAAGTCCAGTTATTGTCCACAAAGTAAACCTTGGCCACAAGAATGTGTAAATTTCCGTGTTGAAATGTCTTTAACCAAGTTGTAGATTACAAACGTCTTGAAATTACCTTACACAAACAATTTAAAATCCCACCTATGAAGATTCAGCTTGCCTAAGACCAGCTTTGTCTTGAAATTATAGCATAGTACTCAGAGAAGAAGGTAACAGTGCTCGTTTGTCGGACTTTACGCCATATTTTCCACATTTCTAAGCAGGAAAAAATCGAAAAATCGAATAAGCGCGGTTGATAATGAACAAACAGAATATTGATCAGCGGTCGTTGGAATAAATCAACGTAGTTATTACCAGTCTCTCTCGCAAACGCCTCTGTGCTGTGCTTTCTTTTTGCCATTCACCACCCCCGCACCCACCCCCTCCTCCATAGACAAACCAGCCCCTCCACTCAAAGCTTTTTTCCTAAACAAAAATATAAGGTTGGTTTTTTGTTCAATCTATTTTTTTCTCCTTTCGCGTTTTCTCTCTCATTGAAGCCCATTGCTCTTGACGCGGTAGATTAATGACTATTTAATTAAATGCTCACGTTTTCCATTTTTCATCCCGCTCCCCACGCTGTCGTCACTGTTCTCTCATATCGCTTCCAAACCCACGTTCTCCTCCTAATATCACGGATTTAAGGAGTAGTCTAATCTAATAGTGTAGTGTAACTGAAATGGAGGGTCTGGGTACGAGTCTCGTGGTAGCCTCCAACAGAAGGGCAAAAGGGAAATTACCCCCCTCTGGTTCTATAAATTAAGATCTTATTCATAATCTTGATAAAAACAACTTCCTTCTGCTTAAAGAAAAAGAAAAAAGAAAGGAGAGATTTTCCTCCACTCTTGGGCTAGCAGGCATGGGTAAGTTGCTGGCCAAAAGTTAATGAGGACACAGAGAGAGACTACACAGCGCAAGGGAAACAAAATGCAAGAATCATCATTCAATTTCCCTTTTTACTTTTCTAAAATGGCAAACTTAGCAGCATGGGTGAAAAGAAGTTTGATTATATATTTGAAATATTAGAGGAGCTCTGCCAATCTGGATATTTCAAACGTCATGACAACACTCTAGCTGATAACTGAACAGATCTATTGTTTTATATAAATGTTTTTCTTTTTGTGGTGCTTCAAGAACTCAAATTTAAAGCCATCACCTTCAAAGGAAATGTTACAGTCATTTATTATCAGGAAACTCAAACTCCATGGGCTGTTTAATTACACGAGGTCTAACCCAACTGTAGTTTTAGCAAGCAGTTGGCTTGTATTCTTAGCAAGGTTGTTTTCATTGGATGTGTCCTTCCACTGATATCTTTTGACACAGTTGACACAGTTCACAAAAAAAAAAAATGTTCAGATTAAAGATTCAGCCTAAAATCAAGATAGTTTAGGACACCCTTTCCTCACACAATGGCTAACCTTTGTTATCATAAGCAGAACCAAGTGTCTCGACCCAATTTCCATTTCCCATGAATACACATATTAGAAGAGTCTAAATATGCTTCCAAGCTGCTAAAAGCAAAATCTAACAAAATAAAAAAATGAAGCTAGGGGACAATTTCTTTTTGAAGAAATGTTGACAAAACACTAAATCTAAAATACTAAAAATTTCTCCAGTAGCAATCTTTATTGCTCTAACTGAGGTCAGCTCTAACAATTTCTTAACCTTTGCCATATATGGTATCTAAAAGCTATTAAATAAACTACAAGGAATCCTTCCTATTTACTGAAGTCTTTTACGCAAGTCAAAAAAATCCATGCCCCCTGGCCTAGCAAAATTCTGGGGGTAAGGTGCATGAATTGTACTTCTTTCCTGCACCTCAATTCCCAGAGTTTCGCATGGCATGCAAACATCAATTTTTTACAAATTTTTCGCTGATTTTTTTGGACTTGCCCGCCAAACTTCACTGAAAAGGAAGGACTACTCATAGTCAAACTATCAACCCTTCAACTCCCAAGATCTGATTGTTAATTCTCTCCTCTAGCTGCCAAACATTTCCTTGTAAATTGGTTTTGAGAATTTGGTGTGCAATCAAGATAAAATCCTGTACCTGATAAGTTTGAGTAATCTCACTACTTGTTTGCTGGATAATGTGTGGATACTATAACGAGAACTTACATGTTAATCACCTCTGGAAGTTAAAGGGTTGAAGAACATAACTTCATAACAGTATGATTGCAGACTGACACTTAACCACAAAAAGCTACATTATTCAACACAAAGGGAAGTGATTCATTTTTAAACTACACAAACAAGATTACAGCCTTGCAAAAAGAGCTTGCTTATGAGTTCTGTCATATTGACACTGATATATAGTACAGGTTGGTTAAAGTAAATAACAAAACATTTGAATGATAATAAATAAATATCTATAGAGTTACATCTATTTAAAATAGTAATCTGTTCCATATTTGTAAGAAGTCACCACTGCACAGAAATAACTTATAAAATTAGAACCACTATTTAGCGAGAAAGCATGTATTTATTCCAGCCATGTAACTCCACAAGAATGATTCCATATTCTCCTCCGTATCTGCTATAAATTTTCCAATACAGCAGTGAGGAGAATCTGAAGTTACATCAGAATAACACCATTCAGCTATGTAATATAATTGAACTACAGTAAGAGGCTACATGGCAATAGGCTCTAAGAGTCAAAACACTTCAACAAAATGGTTGCTGAAATCCAAAACCAACCCAAGAGAAGGCATCCTTCAGGCAAATAGGAAAAAAAAGAATTTGAGTCAATGCTGATCGTTTATCTTTTCAGATGTTTGTTTAACAGAGGTTTAACATAGCTTTGTAATGTTCTTTAAAATTAAAATCATATTTTCTCTGAGGTTACTTCCCACCTTCGGAAGCCTAAGTCAAAAATTACATTTTCTTAACATTAGGTTAACCCTTTAACTCCCATGAGTGACCAAGTCAGAATTTCTCCTTACAATATCAATATAATATCAAGCAGACAAGTGATGAGAATTAAGAAAAATCTTTTAAATTAGGGGGTTATTACTTGATCCAATACCAAATTCTCCAAGCTAACATCACAAGAACTATATAGCAGACAGTAAGGAGAACTACTAATGAGATCTTGGGAGTTAAAGGGTTAAAACAAACCAATTAAAATCTGCATAATTCAATAAGAAGTGGTTTTGATTTTCAGCTTCCATTACAGGTCCTAAATCCAACTTGGTTCAAAGACATCTAACATATCTACACTAAGGCTGTGATGATAAAAGTTTAACTAGGTGTTTTGGCTCCATTTCTTATCCTTATTTAATGCATGGTAATCCTTCTCTGAATCCTATTATGATCAATCATTCTACAGATGTCAGCATGCTCTTTTCATCTACACACTTCAATGGATATTTTCCATCTGGCTGCATTTTATTGTTATTATTGTTGTTGTTAAAGGGATTACCACAATTTAAACAAGGGCAGAGTTCACATGATCCTTCATCACTGAAGCAAGGGCAGCGTGTGGTGACACACCTGGGGCTTTGAAGCTTAGATGACATACCACAAGAACACCTCTTCACCTTCCCTTTGTTCTTTCTGTGTTTTCCAGGAGGAGTCACCACAACAGTTTGTTTTTGTTCAATCTTAGGCTTCGGTTCAAGATCAACATTATCAACAACTTGAATCTCTTCACTTTCCTCTTCTCCCATAATAACTTTTTGCGGACAATCTCCAGTTTTAAAATCCAGAGAAGCAAAATCTGTAGAAATATTTTTCTCACTCCCCAAATTATAAAAAGAATTTGTTGCATTTGCACTGAGCCTGACAGTTTTTTTCTTTTTCCCATAATTGTAATAACTTCCTTTGAATGGTTTTCTTTTCCTTTTCTTGTCTTTCTGACTGTCACTTCCTGTCGGAGAAGACAACAACTTAGTGACTCGTTTTGGAGGGAGCAGTTCTATTTCCGGCGGAAGTTTGACTGGTGTGACACGTGACTCGGTCGCCATGTTCAAATTCCCGCTCGTAGAAGGGGAAATTTTGGAATTTGAATCTGTGGTGTTTGCGGGTACCGGTGCTTGTTCCTGTTGATTCTCAAAGTGTGCGAGTGAAATTGGACTTGTCACCGCCTCTTTAATGATCGCCAAAGTCTTGCTATACTCGCCATTTTGCGTGGCAAGTAATTGTCCACCAACCGCCTTTTGAGCGACGTATTCGCAAAGCTTTTGATAACAAGCTAAGAGAATTCTTGCCTGTTTATCTTCCGTTAGCTTTTCTAAGTTTGTACACCACCGACATCCAGGTATCAAAGCCCGTTTTTTCCGTAGACATCCTTTGCAGACATGGTGCTCACAGCTGTGAGATCCGTACGGGTCGATCAATAAACCGCGGCACACACGACATGAAAGGGCTTGGCGAAGCTTCGGTAGCAAATGGAACATCTGATCCCAAACAGCTTGGTTGTCATTTTCAAGTGACAACATGCATTTGCACGCTTCAACATGTAGCGTTGTGGCGTTCATTCCGCACTTTTGAACGGAGCCCGTAACCGTTAGAACGATCTTTCCAACCAAATTGTTAGTACAATGATTCCCAGTTAACTCGTTCGATTGTATTTTTAATTTTTAGAATTGAGCCGCAGTTTTATTGTTCAGTGGTATCTGCCAGATTTCAGCATGCCCCTTTCCTGTTCAGCCGCACGTGCGTCGATTTTAGTAAGAGAGGGGTGCCTCAGAATGTATTAGTTTTTAAATTTATGATTATTTTCTTTAAAAAATGAGAAAAATTGACTAGTCTAGTCGAAAACTTTTACTTCAGGTATTGAATATATTTAAAACGACAACAGCTTTCGAAACTGGAGAGCCTAAAGTGGAGCTGAATTTTTTTCTTACACATAACAAGCATTCTCACCCTACCCTAGTCAGTTAAGAACAACACATCGGGCATTCTGTCGTGAAACATGGCTATGTTCACGGCCTCAAGGGCTGGTGGATTGCTGAAATCTTTTTTCCCCGTGTCTGCGGGATTTATCAGCAAAACGTCTGGTACAAGTGGAGCCCATTTTAAGAAAAATGCTGTTTTTATTCGAGCTTGTTCTGGAAGCGTTCTACAGAGGATCGAAGAGAAAAAGGAAGAGGCCATTGTTGGTGGGGGACAGAAGAGGATTGACGCTCAACACCGTAAAGTAAGCTACTCTCTCTCAGTCTGTCTGCTGAGTTTGACTTTGACAAGATTGAGTTCTGAAAAAGTGGTTTGTTTTCATGAATTAACGAGGGAACGCTACTCTTTCATAAATTTTCCCTCTAGCTAGCTACCCTCCCCTCCCACCTCCCCAAAGTACACATTTCTTGAATTTGGTGTCTTTTCTGGCGAAATAGTGGGTGAATCTCTTCTTTGTCCTTGCCTTTAATTGATGTGTCATTCATAAACTGATCGTTCTACCCCTTCTGGTTAAATTCGCCCAACTATATATGTTTGAGGATAACAGTCCTGTTAGGGGAAAGTTGAGGCCCACAAAAAGTTATTAAAGAGACTGAGGCAAGCTTTCTCAACTAAATAAGCTTGTTAAATTAAGAATTATAACTCTTCAAAAATAATTTTCACAATGTTTCACTTATTTATGAGGACAAAGCAGGATGTTCAATCCTGCGCTGAAGATAGTAATATGTCTTTCTAAGAGAGTCTCACTGAGCCGATAGAAACACAGGATTGCCTCCACCTCACTTAGTCACAGAGCCAGCCATAGTGTTAAGTGGCTCTCCTGTTTGTTGATTTATAAGATGAAGGATCACTGAAGCTTTATCACAGATATCTATTCCTGAGACATGTCCTGCCCCTTATAAGAAGGTACTTCTTTTCCTGTATCCTGGGAGAGGCTAGTATAGGTTTAACCCTCTGACTTCCAAGATCTGATTGTTAATCCTCCCCTCTAACTGCTACATATATCCTTGTAAATAAGTTACAAGAATTTGGTGTTAGATCGAGGTAAAAACTTCTACCTGATAAGTTTGAGTATTCTCATTACCTGTTTACTGGAAAATGTATGGATATTTTAGGGAGAAGTGAAATGTTAATCACTTCTGGGAGTTAAAGGGTTAATCAGAGAACTTTGCCTCTTTTTTAGGGAAAACTAACTGCAAGAGAAAGAGTCAAGCTGTTGTGTGACCCAGAATCATTTGTTGAATATGACATGTTTATGGAACACAACTGCACTGAATTTGGAATGGAAAATCAAAAGGTTAGTTTTCAGATGCCTTTTCATGAGATATATTTGACTGTCCATAATTTAACCCAAGGGAAATTGGGAAAGGTTCTAGTTATTGTAAGCCAAATTTATCCATCAAAGTTCACCTTTTAATTTCCAAGATCTGATTATTAATACTCCCCTCTTCAGCTGTCGTTGTTACACATTTCCTAGTAAACCAGAATCTTTTCCTACTTTTTAGCATTAATGTTGGTCAGGTAGGACAGGAACGGAGAGAAAATCAGTGTTTTCATTGCATAACTTTAATGTTGATATTTACATGTATTTTTAGTTTACTGGTGACAGTGTAGTTACAGGACAAGGAACAATTAATGGACGCGTTTGCTTTGTCTTTAGTCAGGTAACAATTTTTTCAGGTCATTATTCACTTTCAGAATTTTTTGTGATTAAAAAAACATTGCCTTAGATTGGCCAGACAAGAAGGAAGGGATTGAGAATAATATTTATTATATTTTGAATGTGTAGTTTTTCAGAATACACAGTTCATCATTGGCAAAAAGTTTCTGAATTTTATGTTATGTACTTTTTTCTTCCCTTTTAAAATTCTATGCTTGATCAAGACAGAATTTCTCTTTACAAAATTAAAATTCAATACCTGGCTGACAAGTGATGAAAGTGAAGAGGAAAATCAATTAGAGGATTATCTGATGATCCAACACCAAACTCTCCAAACTAATATCATATGAATTGTATGACAGATAGCAAGGAGAATTACTTAATATAAAATATTGGGATTGAAAGCGTAAAATTAGATATGATTTAAAATTATGATTTTGTCTAATATGGTGTAGTTGTGTTACAGGATTTCACTGTATTTGGTGGTAGCTTATCAAGTGCTCATGCCAAAAAAATCTGCAAGGTAGGACATGACATCATTTGACTTGAAATGAACCTTCAACTAGAGGATCCTCATTTTGTTACTAGTATACATTTCCTTTGCAGTTTCTATTTAGAGGCTTTTATTTCAAGTATTCACTTTCACAAAGGATTAATTATAATAGATGATTTGAACCCAGGGGTGACATTTGATGACGTAGGGTGTTCGTCCAATTGGGAGTTGTCCTACTTGAAGGACTGTTGTTGGTAGTGGTGACTGATGTTTTGACAACCTTGTAAGTAGAAGTCATTATCAGAGTGTAAAACACTATAGCTTCAGTTTATGTTACAACAGATTCCCCTCAACAGTTGCCAGAAACTGCTGTACCATACAACAACTTTTTTTAACAACATTTACACCAAACACAACAATGTAAAATTACAGACAGATTGAATTTAACGATTATGACTGACTTACATTGCTTGAGTCTTACAGCCAATGACATCATGGCTAAACAGAGCAATCAATTAACACAAATTTGCCTTTATAACAACACTTGACTGACAACAACTCTCCATGTGACTCTCTTGATGAGTGCCACTCAAGTTAACTAAACATTAGTCACCACCACCATCATCAATCCTTCTGAGGGCTACCCTTACTTGGACAATAAGACTGCTCAAGTTCTTAAAAAACTTCAAGTTTTGAAATTTTTTTTGAAAACTTCAAGAACTCTTCAAGTTCTCAAAGGAATTTCACTATAAAATGTTAAGAGAAATGCATGCGCCATGATTAATCCGAACGAGTTCATTATATTTCCATAAGGCATGTGCCTTACATCACACAAGTGCACTGTTGAGTATGAACACACTGTTGAGTATGAACACACACAATTTACAATACATTTTATAAAAGAAATAAAAAAAGGTCTTCCTTGAGCATTGATGAGTTATAGACTGAAGCACTTGGGAATTTTTAAGAACACTCAAGAAGTGTGAGAAGCACTTGCTTTCGGCTCATGCTTCTCCGCACTCTTCTTGTGTTCTTAAAAATTCCTGCATGCTTGTATAACTCAACAATGCACCCAGCACGTTTTTTATTTCTTTAGTACAACATTTGTTCCATTTCTGAACCATTCTATTCAAAGATGCAAGTTATGTTCTAATAAACATGAAATGGTTATAAAATATTTGCAATTTATCATAATAAACACAAACATAACATCAGGAGAGGGTATCTCGTTTATTGATGCAGGATACAGCGAGCGTTACATCATCATAAAGAAAATACAGTGGTGAATAAACACAAAAGCAAAGTTGAAAGAGATGCCTTCGAGTAGTTCTTGCATAACTTACAGAATCTTAGATAGCCTAGTAGCCCCTAGGGATTCATCATACTACAAGCATGCCCAAAATGCTTCTACAGTTAACACGAATCATACACTGACAATGAACATACTTCATTATCATTAGCAAAACATTACAAAATATATTTCCAAGTCACTGTCTTATTCACACAGGTGATGGACAAGGCCATGCTTGTTGGTGCACCAGTGATTGGTTTGAATGACTCGGGTGGTGCTCGTATCCAGGAAGGTGTGGAGTCACTGGCTGGTTATGCTGATATTTTCCAGCGTAATGTGATGGCCTCAGGGGTTATTCCACAGATCTCGCTTGTCATGGGACCCTGTGCAGGAGGTGCTGTGTATTCTCCAGCAATTACTGATTTCACTTTTATGGTCAAGGTATGTTTGTTATATAATGCCTTACTAGTACTTAATTTTGCAGGCTTTTAATTTAATGTTTTTTTGCAATTGTAACAAATTGCAGTTTTTCATACAACTGACATTTTTTTTTCTTGAGGGTGGTACGCTTTCTGGCTCTCAATTTACAGACCACAAACTAATTTGTTTGATATTTTAAATATCGAATATCTGTCTGACAATATTGAAAATTCCTCCATCTACTTTTCAGGACACATCATATCTGTTCATTACTGGACCAGATGTAGTGAAGGTAATTTGGTGGTTCATAGTGAGTTTAAATCTTAACCCTTTAACTCCTAAGATCTGACTGTTAATTCTTCCCTTGAGCTGTTAACATTTCCATATAAAAAAGTTATGAGAATTTGGCTTTACTGTGCAGATCACTTGTATCAGATTAGTTGTAGTATTTTCATAACCTGCTTGTTGTATAATGTATGGATATTCTAGAGAGAAGTTATGTGTTAATCATTTCTGAGAGTTTTAGGGTTAAAAGATTACTTTTGATAATTATTTCCTGTCTAGTAGAAGTTGGACAGCTCATGGGATGTCTTTATTGTTTCAAGAATATAAGGACAGTTAGAATTAATAGTCGCACAGTACTAATTCTTTGCTCTGAGAGGTATGGTGCCCCAATGGCCAATGAACTGTGGATTGGAAAGTCTTTGGTTTCATTCTGGTTAGGGTCATTAGGTGGTGTTCTAGGGGAAAGCACCTTACTCCTGCAGTGGTTGGAGTCAGGGGTCACTTCATCATGTCTCTATTTTTACTCAGGATAGCTGATAGAGTAACTTGTAGAGTGAGGGGGAAATTCTTGGTTGGGGTGGGGGGGGGGTGTTGAGCTGGAATAGATGAGGGAGCATGGCCATATATCAAGTACCTTCTTGTTAAACTTTTACACCCTAACATCAGTTTGCATATTCTCCATACTGTTCTCTATACATTTGCTAAGGTGCTGACAAGGTGATCATTTCCTTTATTCTCATGACCTTAATTTATGATTCAGGGGTGATGTGTTAGGAGAAATTGGATGCTAGTCACACCTGGATGTTAAGGGGAAAGGCTTCAGTATAAATTAGGACAGGAAAGGGCTGCTAGGATTGTAAGATCTAACCTTTGATGTTTTTCTATTCTTTTCTGTGCTTTCCTTTTGGAAACAAGACTGTCACACAAGAAGATGTCACTCAAGAGGAACTAGGAGGGGCTAAAACTCACACCTCTGTATCAGGTAAAGATGCGACAAGCACATGCATTAAATCTGGCTTAACCCTTTACAGGGTAATTAAATGTTATCAACTCAGTTGATCACATAAATTGGCCATTGTAAAGAGTTTCAAAGGTGACATATTGAGTGTTGGCCACTCATCATTTGCTCTGACAAAGGGCTAACACTCAAGACGTCAGCTTTGGAACTCTTTACAGTGGCCAATTTGCATTATCAACTCAGTTGAAAGTACCAAATTACCCTGTTAAACTTTCCCACCAATGTAGCACCACAGTTTCTTTAGAAATGTACCCCCCTTATTCATTTAACCCATTACACCCTAACATCAGTATGCATATTCTCCATACTGTTCTCTGTACACTTCCTAAGTTACTAACTGGAAAAATCTGTTTATTGATCAAAAGCTTCTTTGTTTGGTGACCATTTCTTCTATTCTCATGACCCTAATGTGTGATTCATGGTTGATATTGTAAGGAGAAATTAGATGCTGGTCTCTCCTAGGGTTCATGGGGTGAATGTACAAATGTATAGAGGACATGAGCAGATTAATCTTCCACTGACAAATTTTAAAAAGTTGCACAAAGAAAACCATGTAATTGCTTGGAGTTAGAAGAATACACAGAAAACTTATGGAGTTAGTACAGAGTGGTTTGAGCCAATTTTAGTGTTCTGTCCAGAGTATTCCCTTTAACCCTTTTAAACTCCAAAGATCTGATTGTTAATTCTCCCCTCCTGCAGCTGCTCATTGCCTCATAAATTAGTTATGAGAATTTCATGTTGGATTAAGGTAATAAATTCTACCTGATAAGCTTGAGTATTCTCATTACCTACTTGCTGGACAATGTGTGGGTTTTCAAGAGAGAAGTTACATGTTGATCATTTCTGAGAGTTAAAAGGTTAAATAGAATAAAACTTTAATACACTAAGGTGGTAGGAATAAAAATCTCCACTGACTAAAGAAAACAAAGTCAAAAACATTGAAAGAAGGATTTTTTACTATGGTGAAGATAACTGTAGATTAACAATTTGAATGAAATGTTTTTTCAAGCTATTTTGCAATTGCCCTGATCTGTAAAGATAAACCTGAGCAAACAACTTTAAAAAATTTTTTTATCAGGAGTTGCTTGTGGGGCATTTGAAAATGATGTGGAAGCTTTGGCCATGTAAGTATTTGACAAAAATTATATGTACTTTAGTAACATGGAAAAAGCATTGTGTGCAGGTCTAATGGTGTAATTTTGACATTCACAGAAGTGTAATGGAAATGTTATTGACAAATTAAGAAGAAAGCTATGTTATATTCAATATTTTTTATGATAGAAGCACTTTCCATTTTTAAATATTCTTTTATGGTGGGTGATGCAGCAGTGACTGCTTTAAAACAATCACAGTTAAAACCTGTGACCAAAACTTTTTACAAAAAACAAATAGAGAAGCCTTGACTGTGCTTTGTTCTGTTGTAAAGCACTTAAGAAGTGGTTAGAGCACTTAAGAAGTGGGGAGAAACATTTGACTATTTCTCAAGTTTCTATCTAACACTTATTTCATGCTCTTGCAGCTTCCTGCATGCTTTGCAACAGAACGGAGCACATGCAGTCAAGGCTTCTCTTTTTGTCAAGAATTTTGTTTGTGGGCAAGGCATTTAACTCTCACATTGTCTGAGGGAGATCTCATCTTGATGGGAAGAAGAGGGGAAATAGGAACACAAGTATTTAAATCATGATAAAGTTTTTGGGAAGAGCTTTGGATCTTGGCTTTAAATTCGTGATCTATTCCATATCTTTGTAGGATTAGAGATTTCTTTGACTTCCTGCCTCTCAGTAACAAGAGCCCGTCTCCAATCCGTGAATCGGACGACCCATGGTAAGTTGATGACCTAGTGGTGATTTGTTTTAGGGCTGGGGTTATGCTCTAGAATCTAAATTATAGCAATCGCAACAGCAAATCAGATAAAAGGAAAATATCACTAGCAGCCAAAGTGTGTTCCATGCTCAAACGAGGTTGGATTACAGCTCAGTACAAAGTTGCAGTCATTCATGTTCAGTTCTCTTTCCTCCAGTGACAGAATAATTCCCAACTTGGATACTCTTGTGCCATTTGATTCCACCAAGGCTTATGATATACTAGATGTGATTTATCCGGTGAGTGGCTGTGATTAGAGCATTACTGACATTATTTTATTACAAAATGCAAGAGTTCTGCGGTTGTTCGCCTTCCACTGTCAAATTTCTCCCTCCTATCCCACCCCCCCTTGTTCTTTTCAGTCCCAGTCCTTTCTGTCAAGTGTTATGACAACATAACACACAGCATACAGGCAGTCAGGGATAAAAGTAAAGTTTTTTCTATGTTGAACACAGAGGGAAGGTGGAAATTAGTCAACAACACAATCTTCCTTTTGGATCTATTCGAAGAAATGTATTTCTTTTTCTTTTATATTCCCAACACCAAAATAGCGGAAATCTCAAATGCTACACTTTACGTACTTTCATGACAACCAATTTTATCGTTAAACAATATCAGCATGTGTGGGTATCTGTTTACACGAGAGATTATCGCAGTGACCTCTGAGCCTGCAAGCCTCATGCAAAACGCTTTCATTAGTTCACTTGGACTTTAATCGGAATGGAACGAATACACAATCCTAAATGAAGGATATACTGTCTGGCAGCAAAATGTAAAGTTAAGGCAATAAACAGCATTTGAAGAGGGGCGACATGCATACTTCACAACCTTTCTAAATATACACCGTGTTTTATCAACTGGACATACCGTTAATGCAAAATTGTATCATATTTTCTAAACCAATCGCAGAGCGAAGTTATGCGGAGGCAGAGCAACATCAGACTTCCCTGAATTGAATATCACTCTTCTTTCCTCAGATTGTAGATGACGGTGAATTCTTTGAGATCTCGCCTGATTATGCTAGAAACATTGTAGTTGGTTTTGGACGAATGAATGGACGCACTGTGGGAGTTGTTGGTAATCAACCTACAGAAGCAGCTGGTGAGAATCAATGATGATTTCCGAGAACATATGAAATGACAAACTTAGAAAACCATGCACATCTCAGATTTTGTTTCGCCAATTTTATCTTGTGTGTCCTAACCAATTAAATTAAAGATCAGATTATGCCAGGAAACCACAGCGTTGCTTTGTACAGTTAACTTTTGTCAATCGAGGGCGTATCGTAGACTCTAGGTTCGTTATACCATACTATACGGCTCAAATAATTTATTATTATTATTATTATTGTCTTGTTTACTTTTTATTTGCTGGTCTATCTCAGGTTGTTTGGACATCAACGCTTCTGTCAAGGGAGCGCGGTTCGTGCGTTTCTGTGATGCATTTAACATCCCCATCATCACGTTTGTAGATGTTCCCGGATTTCTTCCAGGTTTGCGAGTGTTTCTTAGTTCTCTAACTCCGTTACCAAATTTCTGACCCTTAGTCAAAAGTGTAGGGACGGAATTTTACTTGGTAAAGACGACGGCTCACTAACAATTCTCTGCCAGTACGGTTTTGGACAATCGCAAACTGCTTGTAACCTGTTCTTAACTTAACTCGCTTTCCTTACGATGACATCGCAACATTGTAGAGAAACGATTTTTAAGACGTTCGAACGCGTCGGCCGACAGTCCTCTTAATCGTCGGCCGTTTACTGCTGACGCGTCGGATGACACACTTCCAACCTGTTGGCCGACACGCTTCCAAAACGTGGGCCAACCCCCTTCCAACATGAAGACCCACTCATTACAACACATTAGGCTAAGAATGACCCAGATGACGGCCCACACACAGTCAACACTTTTCTAACGCGTCGGCTGAACATTTTCAACACATCGGCAAAATTCTTGTAAAAGATTTCTCTCATAGGGAGAGTATCAGCTCGAAGTATCAGTGTCGTTTTCTTTTGTAGGAACACATCAGGAATATGGTGGTATTATTCGCCATGGAGCAAAGCTGTTATATGCGTATGCTGAAGCAACTGTACCTAAAATCACTGTTATCACCAGAAAAGTAAGCGGAATAAGTAGCAAGTACTAGAAGTTTTTTTGACATCGCTTGGTGAAGCTGCACCAACTGCGATGGACTGGTATTCCATTCGAGGGAGGGGAGTATTTATACTCCTAGCTTCGGTATCGTTTGGACTAATAGTCTCGAAGACGGACTTTATTTCCCAAATTTTGCGTTTAATTGTTTATGTAATCGGAAGGTACTAATATTGAATCAAGGCTCTCTTTTAAGGGTTTGAGTGGTAATTGCCTGTTTTTTCTTGTTGTTTAGGCGTATGGCGGTGCATATGACGTTATGAGCTCTAAACATCTGCGGGGTGATTTCAACTATGCTTGGCCAACAGCGGAAGTAGCAGTTATGGGAGCTAAGGTATATAGGCGTCAATGTTGATAGCCGTGGTATTTAGAGGGAACAGTTTAATACGCCCAGAGGGAGAGGGGTTCACTAGTTTTCAGGGCTTCCCTGACGAGGTGCTTATCGGAGAGGGGGCCGGGCTTGTTAGAGAGGGGTGGTTATAAAAAAGCTTTATTAGGGCCAAAATGTTATTCATATTTTGTTTTCCGAATCCCTACCTAGATTTAATTAATACCATGTACATAATGCATTTCTTTGGATTAAAAAAAAACAAAAACAACAAAACAACCTTATTTTATGATATTAGACTGAAGAAACCAATAAAGGCTTTCGCTTACACAGAATTTTTTCCTGTGAAAAACTGCTTTGCCTTTACAAATTATAATTTTATATTGCTTAAGGGTTATTTTCCAGGGGGAAGGCGAAAGGAGAGGGCTTTTCGCAAAGAGGGAGGCGTAGTTGACGCTAACTAGACCTAATCGACTTTATCGAGAAAGGGGGCTTGATAAAGCGTGAACTGTATCAGAACTTATATTACTTGTTGATCCAAACTGAAAGTTTCTATAGGTTCCTCCCAAAGAACATTTTAACAAGTTCTGTTATATTTACCTCTCTCATTAAGGGTGCTGTGTCAATCATATTCAGAGGCAAAGAGAATATCGGTGAGTATTTCTCAGATTAATGACCATCACTACATCATCTAGTACTCAAATTCTTCTTGAATTCTCCTGTCCGGTAGAAAGAGTTTGCTTACACATTTTCCAGCTCCGTCTTCTTGTGTGATATTACATAACCCGTGTACATGATTGGGAATTAAGTCGGAAACACTTTGCTTAAATGTTGAGCTGAAAAAGGTCACAAACAGTCATCGTAAGGTTTAGGACATGAGATTTAGGCATAAGTTCATTTTTCTCTCCCTCTAAGTCAGTGTTTCTGAATTATGTGTATATTGTAGTAGGTAATTTTTTGGTAGCTTGCTTGGCCGGTAGACAAATGGGATGTGGGGGGGGGGAGGGGGAGGGGGGTGATGGGGGATACGTTAATTTGAGCATGATGGGGTCTGGGAAAGAAAGTGGGCGTTTCTATGTAGGCCCAACGGTCGCACTTACAGAAATTCTCCCTTCCTCGTACACCTGTCATACAAAAGCTAGAAAGACATTATTGATACTTTACCTTTTTGGTTCGAAGCCTTTTGTTTACTTCTGTACAACCTTATAGTCCAATGTCTTAAATGGCATTTTATGAAGATTTGTGTCAGTGAAATACTGCGATGTTCAGTGCACCCTTGTAATTGATGGTTGATAATAGTGTTTTACATTAATTCCTTAGAAAAATATGAAGCTGAGTATGTGGACAGATTTGCTAATCCATTCCCGGCTGCAACAAGAGGTAAAGCTTGCACTCTCCTATGAATGTTATTCTTAAAAATTTAATCTAGATTTTGATGTATGTATCGAGCGAATGCAGTTGGTTTGATCGCAAAACTTGAGCAGTTTTTGTTTCTCCCCTACACCTGTGTAACAGTGAAACGAACGAAAATCATGCCTCAGGGAAGAAATGTTATGGAATTTTAATAAAGGAAGCGTGAGTGGTTCGTCATGACTAGTTTAGGGAAAACTCGATGACCCTATGGATTGCGCGCCAAATTCCAGATCATTTTGATCCTTTTCCTTTCGAAAATCTTTTGTTTCTTTATCTTTTTGTCTTCGTTTTTTCGAATTTAATTGTTCTTTGCTACAGAAGCCGACATAATCTTTGGCAGTAAAAAGCCGTAAGGATGGGGAATGAACACGTAACGCAGTAATAGCATACTATGAAAGTAAAGCTGTGATATCAAATTTCTTTATTGTTTCTCTTTCAGGATTTGTGGACGACATCATTAAACCTCACATGACACGGAAAAGAATCTGCCGAGATTTGGAAGTACTTGCCACCAAGAAACTTGAAAACCCGTGGAAAAAACATGGAAATATTCCCTTGTAGCTGACTTTAATGACTCCTACATTATAATTATTTGTGGAAATTTTTAACACCATGTCTTCCTCACTTTTGGACAAATTTAATCAACATGTAAAAAGTTTTATAAAACATCGGGGAAGAGAAGTATGAATGTATTAAATGGTAATGCAAGGAACGCTACCATGTGTGTTAGCTGAAAACGTCACTGGTCGTTTTTATGCGAAGCGTACAAGTGAGTAATATGGTGATTCAATGGGCAAATTTCGTTCTGCGTTAGCTCAGCCTTGAGAGTCTGCGGAGAGCATACATCTTATCAAACATGGAGGAACGATTGTTAGATTTGGTGGATTACATGGGTAGGACTCAAGAGGGGATGACAGCTCAATTCGGTTTCTTGGAATCACAGTATCAATGGTTTCTAGTACAATCACTGTATATTCTGATAATATTCTGCATAGTATGTTGAAGAACTCACCATACTGTCTCCTAGATTATTGTCCAAAAACAGCAAGTAAGAGAACACATGCACTATGCACCACAGACATCTTTCAGTTTCAGCAAAATTAAAAAACTAGACAAATCATTATTTGTAGCACGCATTTTGTTTTATCGAAAGGTATTTATTGCATTTTCTGTTCTCCATAGTTACTAATAGAAGATATAATCACGAATCGTTCGTCTCGTAGTTTCTTTTTCAGCTTTAGTCGCCATGGTTTTAAATTAGGTGCTTCCTCTAATAACTGACGCTTTTTCTCCGGTTCTTCCTCTGGTTCATCCTCTGTTTTAAATACACGATTTTTACGCTGCAATCTACGGAAGGGAAATTCAACAAGACCATGAACAGAAATCCAGTTTGAATAATTCAAAACATAGGATTATAAATTTGCGAAGCGTGTGGAACGAAAAATGTGCATGTTTTAAATTTTCGGGGCATTACAGTGTCCATTTAGTTTGTAGAACAAATGGGCATGAATCATTTTTTGATCAATGACAGTAACTGAGCAACTTCGCACCTACCCTTCCCCTAACCTGACATTAACCCTAACTTGTTATCAGTTGTGCATTGTTGGGTTAGGGGAGGGGTAGGTGCCTAGTAACTCAGATACTGAAATTGATTTAAATAGCCTGAGCCCGAAGAGTGACAGCATTTTGTGGTAGGTTACTGTTAGCGGCCACTCCAAATCCCCAAAGAATGCTCCTGAAGAGAAACTCTTCTCGGATATGAGCTGAATCAGAAAATCTCCTCGCCTCCCCTAATATGACTGATCTCGGAAGGGAACCTTCGAGAGAAGCTAGAGAAATATTACCTAATAATTTCCAAAGATTTCCTCTCTTGACGAATTTTGTATTTTTGACGAATGAAACCGGTGATGTAGTATATTGACAAAGTGCACCCATCGGTGAAACAACAAATGATTATAACAATCACAGTGTCATGCCAAGTCCAGTGTTTATACTTGGTCTGGAATCTTTTCCAGGAATCTAGGCAAAGGAAAAGGGAAACAAGAAGAAGTCATTAGAATGCCCTGACCACAGGATCAATATTTTTGTTACGTTGCGTTTGTCCCAACAAGGCACTGCAGATCTAGCTCGGGAAGATAAATAATGATAATTGAACTTAGTGGAGAGCAATTTGGTCCAGAATCATACAAGTGATTTTAAAATCGAACGAGCGCGCAGCGTGGTTTGATTTGAAATCACCTGAATGATTTTAGACTAAAATTGCATGACACAAAGTTCATTTACCACTTAATTACATCCATTTGAAAAATCGAAAAATTCAGTCGCTCAAACACAGGATTTTCTCGGTGTATAGAATAGCTTATTGATTCAGCACTGAGCCGACTGGTAAAAAGTTGCAAAAGTTGTCGTTTATTTTCCTACAATATTATTCATTTGGTTTCTTTAAACAAGTCTTGAAATCCGATTAGTGTGTTTTGTTATAGTAAAGATTTCTCATTGGCTGGGAAAGGATGCGATTTAGAGCAAAAAATGGTGCGAATCGTAAATAAATCGCTCTAACGAGAGCCAATCAGATTGTAGGGAGCACCAGTGATTTCAAAATGGATGTTATAAAGGAAAGTACTTCATGTAAGAATAACTGCGCTAATAACTGTTGACATACCCTATGTTATAAACCACGTTGGATACGTTTCGAGGCAATTTCGTAGTCGCATAAGAAATAGTATGGTTCCTTTGGAGAAAGGTTAACTAGGGAAACTGCAAAGGAAAACCCTTGAAGTGAGGAAATAATCAATTTATCGAAATTAGTCCACGTTGCCTTGCATCACTTTAATAATTGGTCACAAATGACGACCAAATATGGTAAAAAAGTGATCCACAAGGTACACGATCTTACACAAAAAGAGCGCCAATTGAATAAATTTGGTAATGAAAAAACCTTGCAAATAAATTATCTTATGTGATTGGACTGCCAAGGTCAGTTTGAGTAATAGCTTTTACAGTTTACTTACAGTTTGTTGTGTTAAAGATGCTGTAATTGGTCGGACCTACGACCTCGGCTTTTGGGCATGACTCTGCTTCCTAAAGTTATTCAAAAAAAAAAAAATGAAGATTATGATATGACTCTGACAGCTAGAAATTCAATAATTGTGCTACTCTTCTCACTAATAGTATTTTTTCTCGGTATGCAGGTAAAATAAGAGAAAGTTCCTTTTATGATGATTGGCTTGTTACGTTAGTTAGAGGATTGAAATCAAATGGAATCTGCAAGGCCTCATAGGGTCTTTATGTTTAACGCAGCTTGTTTGAAAACGGTGACGGATAACTCTCTTCAAAAAAATGGGCCAAAACACCACCAAACGGCCAATACGAATAAAGCCTCGAAAAAACAAGTCCAGAAGAGCTGAAAATTTGCCAAAAAACTCGCAGATGCGAAAATCGTACACGTATAAGATGCTCACGATGTGTTTTCAAATTTAAAAGGTTCAAAACGCGCGCGGGCTCGTTAGTCGCACGTCGCAACATCTCGGTTCCGTCTCCCTATCACACCCCATTCCTAACTCGCTCCTGTGGTTTAATAGGCATACAGCGAGTTACAAAAAGAAAACACAGCTAACACATTTCACTCTAAGTCAGGAATCTAACCACTTCACGAGAAAGAGCCTCTTCGACCAGCAATGCGTTGCTCTCCTTTAGTGATTGAAAGGAAACGACCGTGTTATTCGCGCTCTCTGTAATAACTGCTGGCGAGGGAATTTCTCAGATCACATCTGCTATGTCTTCAACTATGTTTTTTAATTGTGTTTCCTCTCGTAACCAATTACTATCGTTATTTTCAAAGAATGTCACATATGGGGCATAATACTTCCGCCTAATTGTTTTTCCTGTTCTTTAAGCCAGTGACACACCTAGCGATTTTAATTAGTGATTTTACCCGCCGATCGCGGTAAATTTAATCGCTATCGAAAATCGCCATGACAGATATCGGATTTTACTCGTCGATCAGGGCGATCGGCGAAAATCACAACCGTTGTACCGAGCAGACCTGGCGATTATCGCTAAGTATGTAGCCGGCTCTAGGAAGAGAGGAAAAAAGTTACAAGGTTTTACGAGCAAATTGCAGTTTACGTTCCTACTGTCGTAACGTATGACATCAAAACGAAACGGTTACCTTTAAAAGAACTAACATATATTTCATAGATAATCGCAAAATCATCACTGCTCAGAATACAGTGAAGTTTTTAAAACTCTTAAAGAATAGGCGGACAGATAAACTGTCTGTCTTGAATTCGCGGCAACCATTTTAAATCCTCCTTGAGTAGTGAGTAATCACTTTTAGAGCCATAACGTACCTTTTCGCTGGTAGCGCTTTCAGCGGAGGATGTTCCAAAGAAAAGTAAAACTAAAAACAGGCGAATATCGAACTTTTCCATTTTTTGTAAGAGTTTTTTTTCTTGGCAAGCGCAAAATATGGAATCTATTTGTGAACAAAAACAAAATGAGAAACTGATGTCATAATGAAATTTCAAACGTCATTATTACTCCTGCGCGCGCTTTAAGAGGTTTGACGTTGACGTGGAATTACTTTTTCCGTTAATAGCCCATTTCCTTCTAATGGTTGAGAATGATAAATTCTGATAAGCTTGGGGTGGAAGTGCGATGACTCAAAGGCTAGCGCGCTTTACTCCGGATTGGGAGGTCTGGGTTCTAACCTTGGGTGGAGTTACAATCTTGAGGGACTTGACGTCTATGGCTGGTAATAATTCTTACAGTGCCTCTTTTAGCTCAGGAGTACATACGGGAATAGGATATTGTCAGGGAATCTTAAACTTAATGCTGAAGATGATTAAGAATTATTTGCCGTGAAGGCAACGTGAATGTTGTGAACTAATCCCCGTGACGAAGTTGAGGGGAATATTTAATGTTCAAATGCTCAAGCGCTTTTAAATTCTGATGCAAAATCTGTAAATAAAGATAGCATTGTGCATATTTTGTGACTGATTACTAGTATCAAGATAAGCAAGTATTTTTAACAGGTTTATTTCATTCAATCAGCAAAACCGTAATGTTACGCCAAACTCAGAAGCATATTTTGTGCTCTTTGCAATTAAATTTTCTTTTATTGCGTTTATCACTTCCACGGAAACCCGGTTTCATTTTTATCAAACGATTCACTTCTGGTGTGGAACATGTCGTTTGAGGAGTGTGAACAGGGTGTAGTGCCAATTTTTTTTAAGAGAAAGAGTGGAAGAACACGTTAGGCTGACAGTATGCCAGAATGGTGCAATTTTGCCCAAGAAGTGACTGCATCTCCCAGAGGTGTTAACATGTAACTTCTCTCTATTATAACCATACATTGTCCAGCAAACAGGTAACGAGAATATTCAAACTTATCAGGTAGGAGTCGATCGTTGTCTCGATCTAACACCAAATTCTCGCTAACGATTCATAAAGAAAGCGGTATTGTAAATAGAGGAGAGAATTAATGATCAGATCTTGGGAGTTAAAGGATGAATTACAACCTTTTTAAATATTTTTTAATCACAAGTCTCGTATATTTTGTTTTATATGCTGCACAGTGTGGCTCTCGTGTCCGGCTAAAGCACTTCGCGAGTGACTTCTGAAATGAAAACTTATAGGCCATACATTCTCGCGACCTTATTCATACATGGCCAGAGAACTTCTGAACCGAGTCAACCCAGTGAGCGTGCTTATTCAAATGAAAATCACGAAGAAATTAGCTAAATCTTTGGAGAAAACCTGGACAACTGAATTTTGGCCTAAAAACTTCGAGAAGGTTTCGTGATTATAAAAGAAATATTTTACTCCTTGAAAGTAACAATACATCGTATTTATGAACCGATTGGGAAAAGACCATTCTTGTTAGGAATCATATGAATAGGGCCGAAGTAAACGCATCAAAAGTCTAAAGAACAGTTTTGAAGTACAGGGTGTATTTGTATGTATTTAGTGTGATAGCTGAGAAACACAATTGTTTCAAAACGTCTTATTCAGAGTTACTTTTAAACGATAATGCAAGAAACGCCACCATTTGGATTAGTTGAAAACGTCACTGGTCATTTTACGAGATACATAGGAAAGAGCCATGCGCAAATTTCGTGTGGCGTTTGCACGACCTTACGAATCTGGGGAGACCTTACATGTTAGAGATGGTGGATCGACTCTTAAAATAATTATTGTGGATCAATTGGGTAGGACTCTACTGGGGATGAGGGCTAAATTTTGTTTCCTGGAATTACAGGATCATAAGCTTATGGTTCATTCAATGTATATTGTAATAATAATCGGCAGAGTATGGCGAGGAATTTAACACACTGTCACCCAGATTACTGACATACAAAAAGCGAGCAAGAGAGCACACGTACGATCTACCACAGAAAGATTTTAGTTCCAGCAAAATGAAGAAAATAGACAAATCATTATTTGTAGCACTATTGTCTTTTTTCGAAAGGTATTTATTACATTCTCCGTTCTCTTTTTTTTACCTAATAAAATACATAATCACTAACTGTCCTTTCCCCGTCGTCTCTTTTTCAGCTTCAGTCGCCATGGTTTTGAATCAGTTGCTTCTATTAACAGCTGACGTCTTTTTTCCGGATCATATTCTTTTGTAAATACACGATTTTTACGTTGCAATCTATAGGAGAGATATTTAACAAGACCATGAACAGAAATCCACATAAATAGTCAAATAGTGAAAAAAGACAATTGTCAATTTTTTGGAGCGTTTGGAATGAAAATCGTACAGTTTTTTAAATTTCAGGACATTGCATCGTGCACATCAAGTTTTGTAGAACATATGAGCGCGGATAAATTTTTAGATCACTCCGTCAGAATCTCTGCAACTGCCCAGCCACCCCTCCCCTAACCCAACAACAGCCAAGTGATAACACATCAGGTTAATTTACTGTTAAGTTATGGGAAGAGTAGGTGCGTAATTACTCAGATACTGATATTGATCTAAATCTTTGCAACGGCTTTAAAAATCGCATAAGCCTGTGGGATGAGAGCAAACAGTTTGCGGTAGGAGACTGTCAGTAGCCATTCCACATCCTCAAAGAGTGTTGCGGAAGATAAACTTCTAGAATGTGAGCTGAGCAGATCACCTCCTCCCTTCCCCCCTAATAAGACTGATCTAGGAGGCGAATCTTCGACGAAGCTAAAGCAACATTACCTGGTCATCTCCAAAGGTCTCTTCTGTTTGCGAGCTTTGTATCTTCGACGAATGAAACCGCTGATGTAGCACAATGTCAAAGTACAGCCATCTATCGAGCAGGAAACGATCATAACAATCACAGTGTCATGCCAACTCCAGAGTTTAAATTTGGTCTGGAATCTCTTCCAGGAATCTAGAAAAAAGGGAACATTTTCAGAGGTAGAAATAATTAAAATGATTTTGGCACAGAATCAATATCTTTAACCTGCTTGAGTTGCGTTAGCGCGAATAAGGCTCTGTAAATCTGACACGGGAATATATAAAGGATAGTGCCTTATATAAGAGGGCCCAGTCTACCTCGACCTAAGCAACAGATCGCACTTTCTATCAGTTGACTGGCGTAATGACCCATGCGGGAGAACGAGAAAAGTTTGTAAACTTAAAACAAAACAATTTTCTATAGGTTATTCGTGCAATAAACGATAGGTTGTTACTAATCAACGCGCCCATAGTATTTTTTACTGAATAACATTATCTTTCACATAAATCAAATTTACGATCTTTATTTATAACATAGCTGTAAATTTGTCTAATGAAATTCAATTGCGTGAGCGTGCTTTATATTCCTATTGTGCACGCTCATGACGTCAGAAAACAAATCCCTCGAGAAAAAAAATTTTCTCCGCGATTTTTTACTTTGGGATTTTACTATTAAAAAACTAGTTAAGACTTCGGCGGCAATTTGAGCTAAACATGAAAACAAGATCGTTGAAGCATCAAATATCGACATTTTTATTTACAACATTTAAAGTTGAAAACGTTATAAAACAATTGGTTCGTACGATGCGTTCATTTGTCGGGAACCGAAATAAGAACCTTGTTGCACAGAAGCATCACATATCGACATTTTTATCCTAGCAGTATGAAGGAAGTTTGTCACCATGAACCTTGTTAAAAGGCCGAGCGTACCACGAAGGTCGTAGGGAAGGTCGTAGTTTGGATTTCTATTAGGAGCAGTCGAAGTTCTTTTTTTTCGCCAACATCATTCACTGAATAACATAATCCTCCTACATGAAACACTACCCAATGGGAGCGTTTATCCGTTCAAAATCAAATCAAGTCATGCAGGCTCCGGTTGTTCGAAGGCTGGATAACGCTAGCCAATAGATAAATCTCTATCCGGTGGATAGCGCAGTACGTTTAGTGAACACTTATTCGCTGGATAGAGATTTCTCCGGTGGATAGCGTCATCTGCCCTTTGAACAACTAGGTCCTGGATTTTAGCAGAAGCACATCCAAGAAGTAGCTATTTGTCCTCTATTTCTATAACGAATTGAGAGTTACGGTGTTGGAGAAATTGGGGAACCTGGGGGAAAAAAAACCCTCGAAGCAAGGAGAGAATCAATAACAATTGAACCCACATATGACACCATTTTGAGAATCGAACCCAGGCCCCAGTAATAAGAAGAGCGCACTCTACTGCGATATCTCCGCTCCATTCAAGGAAATGAAATTTTTATATTCTATGCACGAGGGAGCCATTTTGAAATCTCAACCAATCAGAGTGCGCGCCAACGCTCCTCGATAATCACCGGAGCAGACACCGGAGTACAGTCTGGAGCATACGGTTGGAGTGCTAAAGTATATTGGTACGTTTTACTAATCGAGTTCGAGGTCCGTACTTTAGGTTAAAGACCGAGTTTTTCCACTCGGATTTAAGGGCGGGCCAGAAATCCAAGTGTAAAAGACCAAAGTTTCGAAGCTTACAGTGCGGACCGAGAGCAGGTTAGAAAAATATTGGCTACATCTTTAGGTTAAAAAACTGGGGGATGATTTCAATTCAAACAGTTTTCTTTTTTTAATTTTGTGGGCCGCACAGTGAAATATGGTCATTAAACAAACCGATCATAGCGCACGTACAATCATAGCGCACTCACAGTAAATTTCATTAAGGATACCATCATTGTTCGAACGTAGGGCCTCGTCTTCTGGGCATAAATCCGGTTCCTAAAGTTATAGGAAAAAATGAAGACCATTTGAAATCTGTTTCGCTTTTATTATTGTTCGTTCTAACAGAAGTACGATAGCATTTTTTTCTCGGTAAGCAGATAAAATAACAAAAAGTGCTAATTTATTCCACGTTATGAAATAAAATCGAATATTGAATATCAGAAATGAAAAAAAATGTCTTAAAATTCAAGAAAGGCACGAAGACTTTATAAATTAAGGGAAGCATATAAGTAACTAAGTATTTCAAAATGTTTCATTAAAGAGTATTTAGATGTAGTTTCTAAAGTTTATTGAAATATAACATAAACCGATCTAGGATTTCGGCATTTTATTTTATATCATATCATCAATAATTCTATAATGGGCATTTTTCTTTTTAAAGTATTTTATGTTATTTTTTAAATGGCAAGTATTAGCTAAATTAGATTAATTTAAAATAATAATTTTGATGATGGCGAGATCTGAAGATACAAATTTATGTTTAGTGTTTTAATTGTTAGGTTTACTTATTTTATTTCATTTGTTTTAGAGCGCATTAGATCATATCCATATAAATATTGCGCTTTATAAGCATTGGAATATTATTATTATTATTATTATTATTATTATTAGGTTGATTGGGGGATTGATATCAAGTGGAACCTGAAAGGCATCACGGGTCTACATTAAAACACACCCCGTTCAGAAAATAGGCGAAAATACTGCCAAACGGAAACTCTTGACTCCGAAACGAATAACCTCAAAAAACGTAACAAGAGAAGAACTGGAAACTGTAAAAACTCGTCCAAACGTAAGTCGCACGCGTACGAAATGCTCACGATTTGTTTTCAATTTTAAAAAAATACTTGCGAAACGCGCGTGCACTCACTAGTCGCACTTTAAACCACTTCGGTTTATCCTCTTAGCTGAAGTGTTCCTGCGGTATAAGATTTTGTAACACAAAACATACCTGACAAACTTCACTCGAGGTCAGGGATCTAACTTCTTCTCGGGAAAGATTCTCCTCTACCGGCAATGTATTGCTCTCCTGAAGTGAGAAAAAGAAAAATGCGCTGACTATAATAAGTATTGGAGAGGGACTTCCTCTGAGCACATCTACTGTGTCATCAACAATGTTGTCGAGTGGCATTTCCTCTCGTGAGCAATTACTATCGTCATCTTCCATGAGTGTAAGAAATGGGAAATAATTATTTCGCTTACTTGGTTCTTTGTTTTTTAGGGCCGGTGACACACTTGATGATTTTATTGGCCGATCGCGGCGAACCGATTTTGTTGCCAAAGAAAATCGCCGATACCTGACACGGCAAATATTGGATTTTACTCGCCGATCGTGGCAATCAGCGAAAATTGCAATCAGTTGCACCTGGCAGACCTGGCGATTTTCGCCAAGTGTGTCGCGGGCTTTTGTGAGAGAGAAAAAGATCAACAGATTTTACGAACAAATTTCACCTCACGTTCATTCTGTAACGACGCATGATAACGAAACGAAACGGTAGCCTACTGCAGAACGAATATAAATTTCACAGATAATTGCTAAATCAGCACTTCTCAGAATAAAGGGAAGTTTTCAAAACTCTAAAAGAATAAGGACACATAAATTCTCTGTCTTGGATTCTTGGCAACTTTCTCAAATTCTCGTCCAATAGTAAGAAATCACTCATAAAACCATAACATACCTTTTCGCTGGTAACACTTTTGGCAGGAGATGTTCCAAAGAAAAGTAAAACCAAAAACAGTCGAATATCTAACTTTTTCATTTTTTTCTAAGAGTTAATTTCTCGCGAAGCGCAAAATATGGAATCGATTTGCGAAGCAAAAAAAATGTGAAACCGACGACATAATGAAAATTCAAACGTCATTATTACTCCAGCGCGCGCTCCAAGACGTTAAGTTCATAATAGCCCATTTTCGAGTTTTCATGAGTTAGAGATCTGGTGACGAAATTTTAAAATCTGCCAGAACGAGGCTCTCACGCTTTCGAAAGCGATATCGCATTTTAATTAGCCTCGTTTTTGAGCCTCATTTTCGACACCAGAACCTGGAAGTGGGCTATTCATCTTAGCCTCTAATTCGAGTATTTTTTAAATTTCTTTTTGGTTTGAAAATGTCATTTTAATAAAATATTTTAATCAAGCTGGTTTTGATTCAGCGTAATCAGGTCTCAAGTCCGAATTCTCCCTCAGGACCCGTAAGTTTTTGTACCACTTTGTTAATTGACATTGAACAGTCGTCTTGAAATGCTTGTTTTGTTTTCTGCTGTACAATTTTGTTGCATTGGCAAGATAAATGAAGAAATCCAATATCATCTAATTTCAATACTAGACAAGTAAACGATTAGTGACCACTATTAAACGTGAATAATCGCGCGTGCAACTTTTTGAGAAATTCGACAAACTAAGGAATAATTTATGTTGATCTAAACTGGCTGAAGTGTTGAGGTGTGGAAAAGCCTACCCCCAGATCTGCGTTCTGTGACTTCCATAGATTAATTTAAAAGCAAAGTACGTCATCCTAATTCGAATGAGACACGGTATCCCTGAAAAACAGCCTCAAGACCCGAAAGGGTTGATCTTATTTTATTAGTTAGTTTGGCTAAGGAGAATGAGATGTTCTACTTGTAAATTGTGCTGAAGGAATTTTTTACCGTATACAGATAAAGCTATCAATCAATCAATCAGTCCGTAGGAGAATATACTTGTTTTCGATTTGTCTGAGAGTCAATACGCTTTTTTTTAGGGGGGGGGGGGGAAAGAGCGAGTAGGAGCTTATGTTCAACCCTTTTGAGAATCGTATCATTCATATAAGGCAAAATCAAAAAATCAAGTTGCATAATATTTCCCAGATAGCATTCCTACCGAGTCCATACTTATTTTTTATTTAAAGACAATGAGAGACTGGGGAGAAGTAATATCATCGTGAAATTTGTGGGTATGCTGTGGTCAATGCTGGTAGGAAGCACATAACTTCGGTCTTCCCTTAACGTAAGGCGCCCTCGTCAAACCCTCTCCTGGAGCGACTGAGGACTGGTTAATTTAAGGATGTAACTAGTATATTTTACTGTGAATGAGAAAGGCGAGGAGAGGATGGTTCGGTGTTGGCAAGGGTATAAAATCCGCTTCTT